CCAAAGAGGGGAGAGATGCCAGCCCAGGTAGAGACTGGCCCTCATTAGGAGGAAGGATGGCTCTTCTGTCTTAACAGGAGGTAGAGATAGAGAATGAGAAAATATTGAGGCAAAACCATTTTTTATGGTTTTTTAAAGAAAAAGACTGCCAATCCTGTTGTGTTGTGTGAAGTACAGCTTACAGGAGGGCAAAAGAAGCAGGCATACAGGTGGGAGACTGGAGATGAAAAATGCAGTGTGTTCAACATATATTTAGGAAATAGACTTCTAGAATTTGCCAATGGACTTAACAGGAGGTAGAGGTAGAGAATGAGAAAATATTGAGGCAGACATCTTGGTTTGCCAGCAGAAAGATGAGGGAATTCCCATCTATGCTTCCCACCCCTGTTTTCAGTGAATTATGATGTAAGGTCATTTTGTAGAAAGTGATTTGTGAGGGTGAGCGGTGTGGCTCATGCCTGTAATCTCAGCACTTTGGGAGGCTGAGGCGGGTGGATCACTTGAGGTCAGGAGTTCAAGACCAGCCTGGCCAACATGGGGAAACCCCATCTCTACTAAAAATACAAAAATTAGCCAGGTGTGGTGGTACATGCTTGTAGTCCCAGTTACTCAGGAGGATGAGGCAGGAGAATCACTAGAACCCAGGAGGCAGAAATTGCAGTGGACTGAGATCATTCCACTGCACTCCAGCCTGGGTGACAGAGTGAGACTCTGTCTCACACACACACACAAAAAAAAAAAAAAAAAAAAAAAGGAAAGAAAGTGATTTTTCAGGGTAAGTAGGGTGAGGGGGCAGGGTTGAATCCTTGAGGAGAGTGAAGAAGATTTGACATAGTCATTGTTGAGTGTGAGAGAAAAATAGCAGGTCCACTAGGCAGTGTTGAGAGTTGAACAATTTGAAGATACTTATGAAACTGTAGTGACACTGATCTTCTCATGCTATCTCTCAGCCCTTAGGGGCAGGCAGGAGAAAGCACACAGTAGATTTGCTCCTGAGTCACATAATTTCTCTGCAGGTATTTAGAAAAGACAGAAGGCCAAAGGACTTGAACGTAAAGCAGAAGTGATTCATGTATGGACTATACATTCTGGAGGAGGGATGGAGAAAAGGGGTAAGCTGAAGGGTCGATGGAAATCAGAGGGGTGGCGGAGAGGCTGTGGACAGGGTGAGATGTGTAGACTACACAATAATGGAGGGAGAGCTGTCGAGGAACTATACCTAGGCACTGATGGGTTCCCCATGTGAGTAATGGCAGAACTTGTCTCCATTTCCTCACCTACTCATGCTTCAGCTCATTCCAATCTGAATCACACTCCAGATGGTTACTTTCGCTAAGGGCTCAGATGACCTTTATGTTTTCAAATCCAAGACATAGTTTTTAAGTCTTATTTTGCTTGATTTTTCAGTATAATGTCACACTGTAAACCATTCTCTGGTCTTGAAATGGTCTGTTTCACTGGCTTCCAGGACAACACATTGTCTTTATTTCTTCCTGACTTCAGGCTCCTGTTTACTGGTCTCCTTGAGAGGTCTGTGTTTCTCTTCCTGTCCATTATATTTGGAAGCTTCTGGGTAAAGTGTAGTCCTCAGCCTTCTTGTTTATACGCTCTCCCTAGGCAATCTCATCCATGTCTCATGGCTTCAATTGTTCCTCATCATCTTAGAAGTTCTCTGGAGCTGTAAGCTCAAATATCCAGTTCCTACTAGTTACTTCCACTTGGATGTCTCAGGTTTTCAAACTCCTCATTTATTAATCTGAATTTATAATGTGCCCCCAAGTCGAATTCTTTCGTGACACTCCCACCTGAGTGAACCTCATGTGTGGTTAGGCAAGTCGGAAATCTGAACACCATCCTTGATAACCTTTCTTTCCCTCAACTTCCCACATCCAATCCACTGTTCTCATCAGTTTTGCTTCTTAAATATCCTTAGAATTCACTCACTTTTCTCCACCTCCAGAGCTAGGACCAGATCCACTCTCTATCATCTCTTGTCTAAACTACTGCTCAGCTTCCCAAAGGTCTCTTAGCTTCCTCCCTGACTACCTTCCAGTCCCTTCCCCACACAAAAATCTCATAACCCCCCACCTCCAACAAACACAAATTGGATCATACGGCCCTTGACTTAAGCCCAGTTTCTGCTGCTCCTTGAATAAATACAAAAGCTTGTCCTCAAGCCCGGACACGGTCTGGCCCTGCATCTGCTCCAGGCACACTGGCCTTTCTGTGCAGCAGCTCAGTCCTGCCACCTCCTCCTCGGTTCCAACTTGTCCCAGCTCTCAGCTCACGCTTCTTCAGGGACGCCTTTCTGACCACCTTGATCAGGCTGGGTTCTGCTATCATTTGCTCTCTTGGAATGGCATGCCTTCCCTTTATAGCTCTTACCTCAGTCTGAAATTGCACATTAACTTAGGTGATTATGTGACAATCACCTAAGTGAGCTGTCTGCTCACACCAGCCTCCAACCTCTGTAAGAACAGGAACCACACCTGGTTTTGCTCATCTTGTATCTTCCCCAATTAGCAAAATACCTGGCACTAGAAGGTGCTCAGATTGTGTGTGTGTGTGTGTGTGTGTGTTATTAAGAACCATAAGATCTAAGCAGAAAGGTACCTTAGAAAACATCTGCTATCTGTCATTTTGAAGTTGAAAAAGCAAAGGCTAGGTGAGGTGGGAGATTAGGTGGTTCATTTATACACCATCACACAGCTAGTTGATGGCAGAGCTGGCATGTGAATCTGCTACCCACCCTCCAGAGAGGTTGGCTGACCCTAATGGGTCATTTTCATGCCTGGTGCTATTTTTGCCAATAGAACAAAACCAAGCTTAGTAAAGCAGAGCAGAAACTTTGTTAATAAAGAAATGCAGAAGGGATGCTCATCCTCAAAGCATATTCTAGGGGGCAGGATGGCAGGGTAGCAAGTAAAGGGGGATGTGAAATTCTCTTAGGGCAGGTAGGTGAAGACTGGGGCAGGATTCCTAAAAAAAAGATGGGTTCTTCCAGGATGCACCGGAGTGTGCCCAGCCTTGTCTTTTGTACTCAGCACTTTTTGTGCCTAGCAAGGTACATTTCTACCCTCTAGGCAGCGATCTTAGCGTGGTAATGAAGCAAGAATTCAGGTCGGGGCAGCACTGCTGAGCTGGTTCATGGTTATTGGCATCCGGCCTTCCGTTCTGTAAGCAAGCACAGGTTCGAGCACAGGTTAATTTTACAGTTTTTGAGGATTCTGAAGTAATTGGGGTTATGTTGCCATGACAAATCCTCATCTCGTTCTGGTCCAGTGAATTTTCCACCTCCACCTAGGAACTATTTATTTATTTAGTGTAGATACTCTAGTAGTATTCTCTCCTCTCTTTTTTTGGTGAAAAATAAGAGGTGTCTATGATTAAACTGTGCTTTTTTGGAGGGTTGCTATACCATCACAAAACATCAAGCCATTGGCAGATAAAATAGCACACTCTGGAGAAGAGGGAGATGCCATTTTAAGGATGTGCCTTTCCTCATCCCTACCGACTTGCAGCAGTGATAGAGATGCTTAATAGGACCTAGGAGGCACACTCATGTTTCCTCTGCCCCTGCAGAACCTCCCCAGCCACAAGCATTAAGAGGAAGATTAACAAGCCTCAGAGGGACACGTGCTTGCTCTCTGGAAGCTTTCTCTGCAAATTCCATTTCCCCCTGTTGCAGCAGGCAATTATTTTTGCATGATGAGATCACAAGCTGATTATAAAACTGGTTTGCACCGTGTCCAGAGGCCTCTTTTTCCTCCAAGCAGGTTTCTCTTCCACTGAATAGAGCAGGGGAGCCCTCTGGTGGTAATCTGTAGGAAAATCTCCTGAGCAGGAGGGATATGCTAATTTGGGTGAGAGTTCTTCCTCTTCTTTTCCCTTGTCTCCACAAGCCTTTTCCAAAATCAGCCATTAGGTCCTGGCACAGTGGATCATGCCTGTAATCCCAGCATTTTGGGAGGCCAACGCGGGTGGATCACTTAAGGTCAGGAGTTTGAGAACAGCATGGCCAACATGGCAAAACCCGTCTCTACTAAAAATACAAAAATTAGTTGCATGTGGTAGTGTACGCCTGTAATTCCAGATACTTGGGAGGCTGAGGCACAAGAATCGCTTGAACCAACCTGGGAGGCAAAGGCTGCAGTGAGTGCCTCTGCATTCCAGCCTGAGTGACAGAGTGAGACTCTGTCTCAAAATGAAACAAACAAAACAAAATCAGCCATTAGAGGTAAGCCATGCCTGTTGTAAGTCATCTGAACAAGAAAGTTCATACCATCAATGGACTGATGCTTTCTGGGGTCAAGATTGCATTTCTTCATCCATGCTTTTGCTAAAAAACCCCAGGACGCATGATGTGAACAAAGCTATGGATTGTGAATTTGGCGCACACCGTAGAGGGGAGGAGAGGCCCTGATGTGTTGTTCTGAAGTGAGTGACAGACGTGCCTGACCTCCGGGTGGAAACACCAAGCTCTACATAGCACTTTACAGTTACCTTATGTAATATGTGATCCTAATCACCACGGAGGAGGGCAGCTCTGAACCAGCAGGAGGTCTCCTAGGTGTGAGGCTTGGACTAGGGGACTGGAGAATAATGGGCAGGTGGTGGAACACGGGAACATGTGGGGCCTTGGCTGTTTGCAGAGCCCAACGAGTTTGAGAAGATTAGAAGAATGAGGGTGAAGAAAAGGGAGAGGATGACATACAGCCAATACCTGTAGTGTCCAAATTGTCTCTTCAGATGGGAGAGTCAAGAAATCCAAGTCACAGGCACCAGGAACCAGGCTTTGGGAAAGGAGGCAGCACCTGATTTCTTGAACCTTTCTCAAAAGGCTGGGAATATCTAGTCCTGTTTTTCATTCAAATGTTTTTGTTACGTTCTATTTTATATTTAATTTTCTCTGCATAGAACAGCCTTCTGAAAGTAAAAATCAAAATGTTCACCATTTTAAAACCTTAGGCAATGTATGTTTGAAAAAGTTAAAAATCACAAAGAGATCAAGACTGTTTAATAGTTATTTTTTTTAGGGAAATCCAGTCACATTTGCCTGTACCGTACATACACCATTACCTGGACATTCACACTCCACTGGGAACATGATAAATTACAAAAGAGAGAGGAACTTTTAAAACCACATTTAATTTTTAATACAAAATCTGTTGCACTATTACAGAAGTGACCCTTTCATGCACAGATAAATTTAGTATCTACCAGTCTGGAAGAGGAAAACTATATTTTTATTGTTCTCCCCAAATATTTGCAAATTTAAAGTAACTTTTAATCTTTGTGCTCTCTGATGCCAAGGCAAACCTGTTTTGTCTTTTTGTGTTTTCAGTAGACAAGTTGATCTGTGAAAAGTGAATATAGAGACATGAAAGTATTCAGGGCCATCTTTACCTGGGATCACTTTCAACTATGCTTTACCTACACATATCAAAGACGCCCGGTGACTAGGCCTACTGTGCCCCATAGGCAAAGCTCTGACGATTTCATCTAGAAATCTGCTGTCGATATGTAGAAAAGTTCACTATTTCAGTTTCACAGCAAAAAAGGCAGGGGGAGAGGGGAACCCAACAGGTATTTAAGTAGATGCTTTCCAATCCCATTCACTGCATTAATTAGCTTACTTCTTATACAGTACAACATAATCATTGCAGGTTTATTTGTATGTACCACCTATAAGCATATAGCATCTACACTTTAAGTGTATTTACAAATTCAACAAAATATCTACATATAAAAAGCTTTACTTAAAATTAAACTTGATGCAAGTTATGAGAAACCAATTTATTGGCAAATGAAACTGAGCATTCCTTCAACCATAGGTTGTTATAGATTTTCATATTTGGAGGCAACCCATTTGATAGATATTGTTTATGAATATGATAGAAGATACACTTACTTTTTAAACTGCAGATGTAATCCCTTGGACCACTGGCCTTTTAAGCACTTGTCAGATTTCTTAGATTCTGAAATGTGTCTGTAGCAATTTGCATACACATCGCTTAATGCTGCAGAGTTTTGAACTCACATAGGTAAAGTCTTGGAGAATAATATATTACTGTTGGCATGCTATTGTATGCTTTTGGTGTTGGAATAACTTAATTTTTAAAATTAATTTTCTAGCATGTAGACATCTTTCTTACTGAATGTAGCAGAAGCCATAAAGGACCACAAAATCATTACGTGCTTCAGTTGGTGACAAAGCTTCTTTTTATGCTTATGAGGAAATGCTATTTCAAATAAACTGTCTCATTATTTTCATTTTCATGTTTCTTTCTTTTCCCAGCATTGCAGTTTTCATGAACTCTGCTTTTTAAAAGTTGCTTTTAGACAATGACAGTAATCTAGGACTCAGAATGGACTGGAGCAGCTAATACAGAATGCAGTATGTTATGGAATGCTTAATGTCTGAAGGCACTATATGTGTCTTGCCCTGTGTTCTCTGGAGTAATGTTTGAAATTTAATTTGAATGACTTGTTTTTGATTCTTTCGGTATGGCACAAATGCCGAAATGCATTGCAATACACATTGTTTATGCCTAAAAACAACGGAACATAGAAATGATGTACAAAGTAGAACACTGTGCTGCTGTAATGCCTGGACGATTAAGAAGCCTACGGAGTAACAGGAGCCAAGAGCAGGAAATAGTTCTCAGTAAGCATCAGCAATGCGACTGTCATAATGAACTCATTTAGCAAGTATATACTGTACATACTGTTCCTAAGAGTCTCCCAAAAAGACAAACGACAGCTAGACACAGAGTCACCAATTTCACAACAATGTCCACAAAGACATTGAAGTCCTAGAGAATACTACAGTAACACTCTTGACAATGAAAATGGAATTCATATTTAGGGGTTCAGCTGAGGATAGTATAAACAAAGTAGCAAACCATGTTTTCATAACATACACAGGTATGTCCTTTAAATGTGGAGCATTTTTCATGCATCATATTGAACTGTATCCTGAAGAGGAAATAACAGGATCTGTTGGTGATGTTGCATTATTTTTTCTCAGTGCTGAGGAAATCAAGAGTACCCATTTTGAATGAAAAAGTATGCACTTTGCATTCCAGTTCACATTAACATATCATTTGACTGAGTTATGTTTTTGCTCTAACTAGTCTCATAATATTAACATACAGCAGAAAATACACTCTCTACCCATATGTTCATAGTATGAGAGGGCTGACGAACAAGTGCTTAGGATAAACATTCTAGAGAAACGGAATACTGGCAAAGAGCTGAATAATTAAACAAAGGAATTCATGGCGTTGACAGGAGAAGGTGCCTCTGAGCTTTCGTTTCCTTCAGCCGGTTCTTTCTCTTTCTTACCGCTGTATTGTCCAATAAAGGAGCCATCCTCATTGAACTGGCCGTTCACCCCTTCTCCATAGTCAACTAGGCTGTCATCGCTGTCTTCTTTTTTCACAGTCCTGTCTGAAGGAGTTCGACTTCCTTTTTTCAAAGGCTTGTGGTCTTCTGCGTCACTGGAAGAAAGAGAAAACATTTTTGTCAAGATTGGCATTTAGGTAACGTTTTCTGTTTTTATAGATCATGCATGCAAATTATGAGAAAGTGTTTGGAGTCCTGGGCTTCTCTTGACTCCAATGACGAGGGTGAGTTGGAATGGAAATTGGGAGCAGAAATGGTTGAATCATGAAGTCCTCAGTAGAGTGGATGGCTCCCAATTGTGCATGTTAATTTCAATGACAAATTCTAATTCCTGAGTTGAAAGCAATCCAGAAATAATCACAAGCATTAAATAAGAAAGAATTGAGAAAAGTAGAAAAATCATCACTATTTTGAATTCAAAAAGGCAAAAGCTTATGGCAAATAAAGAAGTTAGTATGTTAAACTGCAAACTATCTCTGATTCCCTGGATGTGAATGGAGCATGATTTTGGTTAAGTGTGAAACATGGACTTTTTTTTTTCTGAGACAGAAGGAGAAGCAAAATCCTGCATTTCAAAAATTTTGTTATCAATGCAGGCCAGACTGGGAAACTTCAACCTTACCTTTCAAGAGACCTACAAATCCCATTAAAAGGATGCAGAGGAAACAAATGAAAATAGCCTAAGAAGAAAAGCAAAATCCTTATACTGATAGTACACAGCATTTTTTTTTGGTAAGAATTTTAGCTAATGAGTAAATATTTATTAATCTGGAAAGAGACACACTTTAACTTAAAAGCACTACATTTGTACTATGAATGGCATGCCAATATATTCTAAAGAATGTGAATGATTCCAAACATGTAATAGCAAACCCTTCCTACGCTCATGTTAACCCCCCAGCTCCCTTTCCCATGTGTGTTATGCAGCCTGACCATGTTGGATGGGAATCTGAGGAGTGTACCTTAATATGACTTTATAAGATTCCATTATTATTCTTTTTTGCTTATTTCTCTGTTGAACCCCTAAGCACAATTTCTGAAGTCACAGAGTAATCATTATGTTTTAGACTGTTCACCCATACGGTCAAATAACTAAGTGTGCACATTGACCTATTTGTTACTAGGTAACATTTCGGAAAAAAAATAGAAAAAGTCAATGACAGGATCCAACATTTTGTTTTCTTTCAAAAAACAAAAATGCAAGGCAAAATAGGAAATATATACAGTATTAGTAAAAATGGAAAACCCTTAATATACAAAAGTTATCACTGGCTGCAGTATTTAATCTAGCAATTTGTGCTAAGTCTTTACTGCTCCCTCTGTTTCAGACAGTGACTTTTTTTTTTTCTAGCCAAGATACAAATATTTCAAGATCTGTAAGTATACTGGCTCTTTTGACAATAACTTTTTCTAGGGATTTCAATTTTTCTCCAAGAAGAAAATCTCAAGACTGAGGAAAAAATGCTAGCATAATATAACAGTGGCATATGCCATTGAAAACAACCTGTTTCAGTAACACACGATTACTTGCTGCAAACTGAATTAGCTATAATATCACCCCCGCTAATAAACAACTGGAAAGGTATCATCTTGGGGTGGGCTGTGTTTGGGGAAATTTCAGAGGACAAAGCATTGAGTGCCTAATCTGTTATGAAAATAGCTTATACAGCATCCCTGGGTTTAATTATTAAGTACTTCCTGTGAAATATAGCTCCTGTTCTGGTGTGACTGTTAATTCAGTTGAAGAGTTCAGTAATAGGCAGAATATTGTCACCTGGATTCCAATGGTTAATCGTATTCTGCTTTGTAGAACTAGCATCCCAAGGAATACACTACTGGAAGTTGCCATCTGTGACATTTCTTTGGTCTAGCCATCTATCCACCCATCCCTTCATCCAATAAGTGCTTATTGAGTGCCTACTCTAAGACAGACTGTTCTAGGCACTGGGAATATAGCAGCAAACAAAAGGTTTAGTCTTAAAACCCTGACCTTATTTTTAGGGAGGAAAATACAATTAACAATCAACATAATACAAATTATGTATATTTTATGTCAGGAGACGATTAGCACCATGCAAAGTAGAGAGCTGAGTAAAGATGACAGAAGGTGTTGGAGAGGGGATGAAAAGTTGGCATTTAAATAGGATGTCCAGGAAGCCCTCATCAAGCAGTGATATATGGTCAACTACTTTAAAAGAGTGAATTTAGCAGGGTGGATAGCTGGAGGGAGAGCAGGTCCTGCAGGAGTAACAAGCAGTATAAATGCCTTGAGGTGAGGGCAAGCCTGGCATGTTCCAGGAACACTAAGGAGCTTGGTGTGGCTGAATAGAGACGGCGGGGGGTGGGGGGGTGGGGGGGTGGGGCGTGAGAGAGAGAGAGACAGAGACAGAGACAGAGAGAGAAGTAGGAGTTAAGGTTAGCGGGGTGGCAGGGCTACACCAGGTACCGTGGGACACTGTAACAATGCTGCCTTCATCTCTGAGATAGGAAGCCCTGGGAGGGTTTTCAAAGAATAAGTGACACGCTCTGACTTACATTTTAAAAGCACTACTCTGTTATCAGTGTTGAGAATAGCCTACCTTAGAGGGCTGGGGTTAGTAAACAATAGCAAAATTAGGCCACGCCCATTTATTACACAATGTCTGTGGCTGCTTTTGCGCTACAATAGCAGAATTGCAGAGTTGCAGCAGAGACTATGTGGCCTGTGAAGTCTAAAATATTTAGTTGGCCAACCTCTGCTCTAGAGAGTCAGGGGAGAATATTACAACAATCCAGGAGTAAGATGACTGTGACTTGGACCAGAGTGGAACATTGGAGATGGTATAAAATGCTCAATTATGAACATATTTTGAAGGTAGACCCAACAGGATTTTCTGATGGATTAGATATGGAATAACAGAGAAAAAGACGGCACCAGGATTTTTGGTTTGAGCAACAGGAGGCTTGGAAGTACTGTTACTATGGAGTGAAGCATGTTGAGAGGGGAAAATCAATGGTTCAGTTCTGGGCATATTAAAGTTTAAATATATCATGAGAAGTACTCCTTTAATCATTTTATGAGGCCAGTATAACACTGATATCTAAAACCAACAAGAACACCTTAACAAAGCAAAATTACAGGCTAATCCATTCACGAACATATATGAAAAAATCCCAAACAAACTATGACCAATCAAATTTAGCAACCTACTAAAAAGATAATATTTTGTATCCAGGTTGGGTTTATTCCAGGAATGCAGGTTTGTTTTAGCATTAAAACATCAATTCATACAATTCATCATTTTTGCAGAAGAAAATAAAAATATCTATGATAATCTCAGCAGATTTAGAAAGAGGTATTTGAAAAAATTCAACACCCATTCATGATAAAAACATTAGGAATAGAATGTATTTTTATTCCTAACATTAGGAACATACTTATTTTTAACATGAAGGAATAGAATCCTTCATTAACTTGATTAAGGGTAGCTATAAGAAACCTAAAGTAAACATCATCCTTAATGGTGAACATTGAAAACTTTGTTTAAAATCAGAAATAATAATAATGATGGCTGCTGCCACCACTTCTAATCAAAACTGCATTAAAAGTCCTAAGCAATTTGATAAGAAAAAGAAATAGATGAAAGGAAGCTATCATTATTCATAACTGATAAGACTGTGTATGTAGAAAAGCCAGAAGAATCTATAGGTAAATGTTAGAATAAAAAGAGAGTTTAGTAATGTTGCTTGATACAAGATTAGCATGAGAGTCAATTTTACTTATGCTTTTGCAAACAATTAGGAAGTAAAATTTAAAATATTATTCCATTTCTAATACCATAAATATGAAGTATATAAAGACAAATCCAACAAACATGTGTAAGACCTCCAAAGAAAATAAGTTTTATTCAGAGTTATTAAAGATCTGAATGAATGGAGGAACATTCCACATCCATGGATGGGAGACTCAAATACAGTAAATATGTTAACCTTCCCCATACTGCCCTTTAGCTGCAATTTATTTCTGGCAAAAGCTCAGCAGGTTTTTATGTGGATCTTGGCAGGCTGATTCTAAGATGTACAAATAAAAGAAAAGGGCTAAGTATTTAAAAGGCTCTTGAAGAAGACAAGTAAAGTTAGAGAACTGAACCTAGCATGTATCAAGACTTATTAAAACCTGTATTATTAAGACAATATAGTTTTGGTGCAGAGATAGACAGATTGACCAGTGGAATGGAATACAGGGTCTTGAAACTGGTGGAAGATCTTTTCGTTGGCTTTATTTCTACATCATATTTTTATGCTATCATAACAAGAATAATTTTTAAAATCTTATTTTCTAATTGCTTGCTGGTTGGTACCTAGAAATATAATAGACTTTTATGTTAATTTTGTGTCAAGCAACATTACTAAACTCTCTTATTATAATATTTTCTTTTTGATTCATTTGGGTTTTTACATACAAAATCATATCAGTTATGGTTAATGACCAGCGAAGAAGGGGCTCCCCGAAGCATCCATTCATTCCAGCTTAACGGTTGTGGCAGAGGAGAGAATCAACAGCAACACAGGCTGTGCCTGAAAGAAGAGAAGAAACTGGGATGCTCCCTCCTCTAACAGTCCTTCCAGAAAAAGCCATTCAAAGGCAGCGAGATCTTTTTAAGTCCAGTCTTTATTAAGTGCTGAAAAAATATCTTATTGTAATAATTAGAATCTGGTTAAATGAGAAAAAATTATATAAGTCATAGGCACAGTGCTGGCACATGGTTTGTGTTCAACAAGTTTAAGTGTCCATCTCCATCAACCTCTTCTCTCTACTCCAGGCCCCTACTTCAGAGAGATTTGTTTTTTCTAAGAAATACCTTGTGTAACACACACACAGAACTTTCCAGATGTGTTAAGTGGTTACAACTCTGTGTGATGCACTGTATTAGGACTTGCCCTTTTCAACTCCAAGATGAATTTTGTAATGAAATAGTAAATAATATTCTGCTTTTGACATTGTATTCAGTGAAATTGCCATGTCAAGTTTAAATATGAAAGAGTTTTCCAAATGAGATGAATCAAGAAGTCACAGAAGATGATTTAAAAGTCATATAGATATATATATATACCTCTCTCTCTCTCTCTCTCTCTTGCAGTGTAGTGGTCAAAGCTTTACAAAACAAGTAAAAATTCATTCACATTTTAATGAGAATGTTTAAGGATGGTGTGTATCAGATATGAATTATTAGTTCTAGATATCAAAGGCTGAATGGATTTCAAAATAAGATATACATAGCTAAAACATATTCAGTATATAAATATTGATACAATATCCAGTATATTGATACTTACATTCATAAATCAAGATCACTGTGCAGCAGAAAGAAATGTTCCTATCACAATGCTAACACTGCATGACTTCCCCTGGGAAGACTCCCTGTGCCACCTTCCTTCTATGCTGCCCCCCTGGCTTCAGCTTCCTGCTCCTGTTCTCTTGGTACCTTAGTTATATCTCTTCCATAGCACTGTTCACACTCTGGTATTTGTTCTTTTCCTTCCCTGCACCCATCACTAGGCGATAAACGCCCAGTGTGGAACCAAATCCTATTGGTTTGAATATCCCCAAAGCCTGGCATACAGTAGGCACTCAATAAATACTGGCAGAATGAGTTCACTGTAAAATAATAGAGGAGACAGTGGGAATTTTAGAAAGTAAAGAAAAATTTGAACATAAATATCTTAGTTTCATGATGGCAGACAAAGCACTGGAATATATCCTTTCCTTTCTCTTACCCTAAGAATAAATTTTTAGAGAGTTCAAATTGTTTTTCAACAGCAATTTGTTCAGAAGTGTGCACATCCATTAAATCCTACTGAGTAAAATTTGGCAACAGCAGGTAAATCTCTGATAATTCTGTCTGATTTTCCTGTTGTTACCATCCTCCCATGGCCAAACCACATTGCACCTCTAGTGACATTCATGACCCAAATACTCTTTCCTACCCACTCTCTGAAAGTCCATTATTATTCTGCTCACAAACCAGTTCATGTTTTGTGAGCAAAATAACTCTAATGTATATAACAAATGTGCCACATCTTGGTATCATTCAAGCCTTATAAGCATGGGTTAGCATGCCTGACACAAGCCCATGTTCACATGAATGACAAGATATGTGTGGCAAGAACCACCTATTATGCAGTAAGTTATGAGTTCAAGTAACATGGGCATATGGTTTATGACCTAGGTTTATTCTGGTCTTAAGGAAAATGGATCTAAAGAATAAAAAAATACTTACACTGTTGGTTGCATTGTTTCTCTGATTTTTCTATATGCTAGTAAGGATGCAGATCCTACTGTCTGTATAATTAAAGAAACAAACAAAGAAAGCTGCAGGCTTCCACCAGAGGGTAACTGCTTGGGGGTGGGTGTCAGAGTAAGGGCACAGGGTTATAGCATATAATCACATTTGGCCACCAGTGAGGTTCTATCCCTCTTTGCACTATAAAATATCATCTGGCTCAGAGCCAGCCATGTAGAAAATGTTTCATCCTCAGACTAGAGAATCAGCAAATCAGAAATGGGAATTAATTTACACTTAGGCAATAGTCCTAATTTTGTGTATGTCTGATCGGCATAATAATTTGCTTTTGGAATGAAAGACAGTAAAAATCAATAAATAATACAGAGCTCAAAACTTACAGAAGGTGCAAAGTAGAGACAGGACCCTGGTGATTTCAGGAAGTGAATGACACTTAAATGTATTATTAAAAACAAAAGATTCTATTAATAAACCGTTGGAGCTGTTTTCATTAATCACAGCCTCTAAGATAATAAACATTTTTGGATTTATTTAAATAAAAAATAAACCAAAGGGAAAACATTCTGAGGTAGTGTCAGGAAATCAAAGGACAAAGCCCTATCTTTGTAAATCAAAGTAAAAAAACTGGTTGGAATTTTGGGGAAGTGATTTTGCTTGTGGGATTGTCCTTATGAACTTTTATTTTCATTAAAAAAAATTACATCATTGAGTTATGTTTTGAGTTGAAGACACCCATCAGAACCTTATTTCCCTTGGCACCTCCCAAATTTACATCATTACATGTATGACAAGTGTATAAGTGTTTCTGTCTTCCTGTCAATTGGGTTTGCACTCAATAAGCCCAAACAAAAAGTCTTTCTTTCCTGTGAAACTAAGGCCTAAGCTAAAGACAGCTATTTGAAAACACTTCACCAACACAGTACATATAAATTAACACTAAGACAAAGAAATATGACCAAATAGATGTAAACACAGTGATTATGAGGCCCGTAACCAAATACTTGCTATGTACTGCTCCAGACAGAAAACTATATTAATGTTGTTAGTAGATGGCTTGTAGAAGAAAATACAAATCACAGAACTATGAATCACAGGCAATGGCTGAGTTGAAAGTAAAACCAACAGTCTTTTAATTCCAAACTAGTTCATAAAACTCAACCTCCATTTTTTCTTATAGTTCCATGGGGGTTCATGTGCAAGTCTGTTATGTGGATACATTGTGTCGTGGTGGAGTTTGGGTTTCTAGTATACCGTCACCCAAATACCGACCTTGATTTTAATCAAGTTTTAATGGAGTAGGCAGCAGTTTTCTGGGAAAGTCACATGACCTCAGATCATGGTTTCACATCACTATAATAGCAAGTTGATGTTTGAGCCCCACATGGTGAGCAGTACATTGCCAGATTCATTGACGCATGATAATGTAGAATAGGAACCCATCACCACGGAGAATGTATGAAGGACAATGGTTTATTTCCAATTCATGCAAATACATGTTTTTTTTCAGGCCATGTTAAAGATTTTGCTTCATCACAATAAATAAGGGAGTGGTTTGCATATCCTGTAGAGAATTATAGCCACAAGAACTCTAAAAATAAGAAGTTATTTAGTAATTGTCAGCTTACCTGCTTTACAGGAGAAACATGTGTAAGGGTGAATTATTTCAGCAAAGCTCTACTCATCCAGATGCCCTATGCTATGGGCTTCTGTAAGCTGTTCTAATGTGTTACAAAAACCTCTTGGGTGCATGAGTGTGGATGCTGTATGAGGTTTTTTATACACTTGCAGCTCCAGAACCAACTTCTGACATCAAGACAACCCTTGCTAGGCATTTTTGGACCATGAGATACAGAAATTCTGAGGACTTTTTGAAACCATCGTTATCTCTCTTTAAGAGATCAAAATATAAAAACTTAGGGGCTGAGATAATAAAGGAAAAACACAGGTATCTGCATGGAAATTGATATGAAAACAATTTTATTGAAAATATATGTCTTTTTCTCAATCAGTTCTCTATTTTTCATCCTTAGCATGGTGTCACATGAAAGTATGATATTCTATGATACCGACATGATAGTGACATGGAAAAACCAAAAATGAGCTCTAGAGACAAGTAAAACTTAACATAAATATCTTCTCTACAAATGTTGCCTTGTAATCACAATAGTGAAATGTTTTATTTCACCTAAAAGCCTCTTCATCTTGCAAACAATGTCTCAAAATGGGCTTAATGCATAATATAAGAGATTTTATATAAGCAAGAGGCTTCTAAAAAGAAAAAAACAAGGCACAAAAGGTATTTTTATTTATTTATTTATTTATTTAGAGACGGAGTTTCGCTCTTGTTACCCAGGCTGGACTGCAATGGTGCGATCTCGGCTCACCACAACCTCCGCCTCCTGGGTTCAGGCAATTCTCCTGCCTCAGCCTCCTGAGTAGCTGGGACTACAGGCACGCGCCACCATGCCCAGCTAATTTTTTGTATTGTTAGTAGAGACGGGGTTTCACCATGTTGACCAGGATGGTCTTGATCTCTTGACCTCGTGATCCACCCACCTCGGCCTCCCAAAGTGCTGGGATTACCGGTGTGAGCCACCGCGCCCAGCAAAAGGTATTTTTAAAAGGCATACTTTAAAAATAACAGAATCCCCACATTTTATTCTAATAAATATTTTGTTTCCGTTTTTAAACAAATCTAAAATAATCTTTTTTTCAATTGGAAAGATATATCTTTGTTTAAAGAAAATATTTTTTAAAAATTTAGCACATAGGTTATATTAACATTTTCCCTTAATGATGGAGTCAAGCCAGAATGTATTATCAAAGTTCTGTGAGTAACACATTGCCTAGAGGGCTATGATATTTCTTAATAATTAACAGCTTCTAAAACAATCTAGTCACCATTTCATGATTAATGGGCAAGGCTATAGGTATTGTTTAGGAAAACTAGCTTCAAATTCTAGATGAGATAGTCTGTTCAAACTGATTTTATTACAGCGTGTTTAGAAAATGACAAGTATAGTTTTCTTTGCAATGCAGGCTTTGGAGGGTCTTCTCTGTTGTTTTAATGCTCATAGTAACACACTGGCTTTGCTAGATTGATCAGTACAGCATGGGCCTATGGAAAATGTGACAAAGTGGGAGACATTCTACCTCCAAAATCATGACTAAAATCAAAATTTATTTTTTTAATGAAAAATGAAAATGTTTGACCATGAGGGACATGTAAACACTGAGACATGGAGGTATCCCTAAACTTACATTTGAGGAAAATACGAGATGCCAGGCAGAGCATGTCCTGGCCAAGTTCCATTCTTGGGACTGTGTTGGTGTGGGCAGGGAAGATGAAGAGCAGAGAAGCAGGGGCTCACCTGTATTCCCCAAACGTTCCATCGTCTTCCTTCATAGGCTGGATTTCAGGGTCAGCATGTGCATCTTCCTTTTCTTTAACTAAAAATTTCAAAAAGTTATTATTGTCTATTGATCTCGTTTTTTCTTTTTCAAAGTCCATGAGAGTATTCTTTGAGATATATACAGCAGTGAAAAATAATTCTATACACAAGTAGATGTAATCATATATAGTGGCCATGCATATATTCTGGTGTTTTAGTTATTTTTGAGGCAGCCCAATAGAATGTTCATTTGTTAATACATAAAGTTGACTAGTCTCTTACTTGATAAAGAAATAATATTTAAGTTTCTAAGATTTTCCCCTACTTTACCAATCTATTTAGTAGCTATATTAATGGTTGCAAATTGTTTTTATAAGTCTATTCTTTCACAGATTTTTTTTTTCTTGTCACTGAAGGGAAAATGGTCAGGTAAAGAAAATATAAATTTAATGGACCCACTAAATTGAATAAACCATTAACCTTACAGGGAAAGCAATGTTACACATCACAATATCAAGACTATCAAGACTTAGTTCATGTATTTCTTCCTCTGAAAAACTCTCTACACACCTTCCCCCCAACTCTCCTCTTGACAGATGGTTTTAGGTGTTACTTAGGCATCCATAACTTGTGTGGAGTCTAAGAGTAGATTCACTAATGTTTTCAGAGAACAGATTGATTTACTCATCCAAATGCCTTATGATTGTTGACAATGTTAAACTGCCATTATATAAAATGGGATCAAAAGTCATTTGAAGAGAAAGTCCAAACTCATGGCTCTGGGAAGACATGATATTACAATCTACATGATTACCCCCATGATTTCTTTTTAGTTTAATGGATTATTATGTAGCATTACAAAGCAATTTTAATGTTTCTTTCTTACCTGGATATTTACCACCCTTGTTTCTTCTGATGAAGCAAACAATCAGCAAAATTAAGATAAGGAGAGCGACAGCACACATCAGACCAATGAACCAGCCCTGAGTTGCAATATCCACCTGCCGGCTTGCCATCGCTGGAAAACAGATCAACGGTGTTGGTGGCAATAGGGTTAGGGGAGATGCGAACTGCTGCAGTCTCTTAGAGTAAAAATTGTCACATTATGTGAGCTTTCATGTATTTTACATGTGGCCCCAAAGTAGGATCTGCCAATTATTAATTGGGAATTATATAAATACTTAATTTGGAAAAATCTTAATTCATTAAAAAATTCAAATATAGAATATTAAATGCTAACAAACTCTGGTGAACATTGTGTTCAGTTATTCTCACTGAATATTCTCAATAAAAACATATTCCTAAACCAATTAAAGTATTCACTGTTTACAGGATACATTTTACATTAAGTACAATAAGAAAAATATAAAACTGACTTTTAAATAGAACAGAATGTATACATCTAATTGAGTATTTTCTCTTCAAAGGCACTGCTTTTAGATGTTAAACTGTCATTGCAAGGCTGTTGCCATTTTCAATATTTAAAAAAATTCTGTTAAAAAAGAAAATGGTCCATACAAGAAACCTTTCCAGATCAGGAAAATAACTGTATTGTTTTACATAACATCTCAATTGGCACCCAAAATATTACTTAGATTTGTTATTGATCTCATTCACAAGAGTTGGTTCTGAGTGGAAATTTATAAAAAACCAAATTCACCCTCAAAGAATCAATATTTGTTATGGCTAAGGATCCATTCAAAAGACTGGAGTATCTCTCGGTCAGTGAAATCATTATTTGCCTAAGTGACCAGTTTGAAAAGAAAGTACTCACTTATGTGTATACATATCCTTTCAGTTTGCATCTATTCTGTTTGAGTAAATGAATGTGAAGCCCCTTATTCCATCAGTCATAATATGCAAAACTTCTAAGAAAACCACAGAATAACTAGCATTTTGGGTATTATTTAAAAGTATCAATCTTATGGGAAAAAGTGCAGCATCAATGGCTATTCAGACATGCCCATGCGGATTTGCTTAAATTAACTGGTATATATTCTTTTTTTAAAAGACCTTTATTTTCTATTTTGACCATAATTAATATAAAGCATTTTCTTCTTTTGACTCCATCAGCAGGTTTATATCATGCTTTTAATTTGGCTGAATTTCTTCTGAATATATTTTACATGGTTGAGTTAGGTGTGTGTGATCTCAGGATGCATAAATAAACATGACTACGCATATCCCAGGTTCTGCTACTGTTGTAAAAATAGCATCTCATTGTTTTTTTTTCTCCATATGAAATTTAGGGAGAAAAAAGGAAATGCTAAAAATCAAGTATGAAGAGGAAGGTAAAAAAAAATATGGACATATGTAGAAGAAATAAAATGAGAAGCAAAAATACATTATTTGAAAAGTGAAAAGCAGGTAGTCTTTTCCCAATAGGCCCTTGTGGCCTCATTAGTTAGAGAAGTTTTGAGCTGTATCAAAGCCACACACAAGTAAAGTACCAGGTTAGGTAGTTTCCCCTTTCCATACACATACCATAGTCATGATGATGAGAATGAAGACAATGGTAATAACACTGACAGCTAACATTTGTGGACCTTACCATAGGCTAGGCACTGTGCTGAAGGTATATCTCACTTAATCTTTACAACAATTCTCTGAGGTAGGCATCAGGAATAAATCCATGCCCAAGGAAGATAAAAAACTTGCCCAACATTTAGAGCAACCTGTGTCTGACCAACTCCAGAGAATATGCTACTAGCCATTATATTATACTGCTGCCATGCATTCCTAAGAACAATCCAGACATCAAACCTGCACAAGTCTTAAGTTAAACAATAAAATGCCATAGAAACTTCCTATTCTGAGACAGGCAAAAAGGTATTAAAACTCCATCATTACATCCTCTTTGGCAATATGTTTCTTTCAATTAATGCTTGGTCTTTCTGTGCCTTTTCTCCAAAACTGAACCAAATACCAAATGGCATTAAGTCTCTCAAGCATTTGACTAAAGTTGGAGTTCTTGTTTTCAGTGTGCTGATTTACAGCCTTGTCATAAAAAGATTCAGCTTTTACATTTTTCATCTAATTAAATGCAACTAAAAAGGGAAAAAATAAGAGACTCAGGTACTAGTGCAGATATTGCTCTATAAGGATGGTGACTGCCAAAATTGACTGGCAGCTTGCTGCTATGCAACCAAGAAAAAATGGATGGATGTTTGATGGGTGGTAAACAAACATCCAAACTGACTTTGAATTTCTGCCTCTATGTCTAAAGAAAAAAAGTATTGAATATTTCACTGCCCTATTATTTAAAATAGGCAGGCACAATATGATAATAGGTACATGTGTGCACACACACAGTCACATTCAGACACACACAAGTGCACCATAAATTGACATAAAATGGAAATTGTATAAATGTAAATAACAATTTCTATAGACTTTCCATCAATAAAAGAAAATATTTAAATTGCAGAATGACTAAAAGAGGCTTCAAGTTTTCTCAGGACAATCTAAAATCATCTGGGACATACAAATTCAAGCCATAACCACCATAGTGCATAACATACACACACACACACACACACACAGAGAGAGAGAGAGAGCGAGAGAGAGAGAGAGAGATTAAACCTATGGGGCTTTTCCTTCTAGAATCAGTTTCAATGGGTGGGTATCACCCATTGAAGGGCTGGGTAGTAGAGTAAAAGAAAATCTTCATTAACTGAATTTTTTAACAATAAAATTATATTCATGTATTATTTGAGTAATCCAGAAATGATAAATTAAACACATATAAAGAACATGAAAATAGAAAATAAGGCAGAATAATGAGATTTGCTTTGTTTTCTGGAAGTCGGCTTTACAACAGTTTTCTGCTCTGGCGTTGCTTGCTGTCATGGATAATCCATGCTCTGTGGTAGGAGGTCTCTGAGGAAAATGCTCTTGAGTCCTCAGAACCGCAGAATCAACATGGAAGAGGCAGGGTGAGGGAAATGGTTATTTGTTCTATACCATTTTGAAGAATGCACTATGGATGAAAATGTCCTGTTCAAATGCTTAGAAATGTTTAGGAAGAGCACACTGTGACCTTAACCAACATTTGGAGACAATTGACAAAAACTGTTGGGTCTTGTGAAAACAAATGTTTTAAATCCTTTGTGATGTCAAGAGAGAATGGGTAATTGAGGGACAGAGGAGGTGGATGGCGTTAATGAGAGGTCATACCTGGTCATACCAGATGGGGTGGCACTAATGAGAGGTCAAATGGGGGCGGGGAGTGGGGCTAATGAGAGGTCATACCAGATGGGGTGGCGGTAATGAGTGTTCATACCAGGTGGGGTGGCGGTAATGAAAGGTCATACCAGTAGAACGGGGAAGAAGCGCAGCATCGGGACACTACCTATCTTGTTTGTTGTTCAGTTTGTGCCATAGGAAAAAAATTAAGAAATATACCTAAAAAATCCATACTCTAAAAGGGAGAGATGGTATAATGGTAGGAAGATTCATGAAACAACTGTAGATGATAGTTGAGTCTAAGGTCCTAAAATTAGCAGAACTCAGAGAAAGAGAGAAGCAGCTCATGAATGCAGAGTTCAAAAGTAGCCAATGATACGATTTCAAGTCAGAAATACTGACATCCTTACACCGTGGAACCCAGCAGGAAGGGAGGAGGGGCAGGAGCAGTGGAAGGCAGGGCTTTCACACCAGAGTTAACCCAGCAGCCCCAAAGTACAGAGCGTTGTGAACTGGGAAAAGGAGGCAGCATAATGGTAAACTGAGGCATTCTAGAATGCTGGCAGCATTTGCTCTTACAGGTGATGTGTTAACTAAGGTCATGAGTTTAATCAATATTTGTTCTTTTTAATACATTTAGATGTAAAAAGTGACAAGAACTGGTTGGGACCTTGTCTTGTCTCTCTATCACTGGCACACAAGAAGGCCCACCTATCACAATTCCTCGCCTTGAACTGTCTAGCAGTTGCTGCTGGAATTGTAGGCATTATACTGCTGAGTGAAAAATAATTTTCTAAAGGGGTTGTCTTTTGTCCTGTAAAAGGACAAAAAGTGCTACCACTTGATTTTAAGGGTGAATCTAACTTTGGCTTAAGTCACTTTTTCCTTTCCTAAACATTTCTAACAATTTTAACAGGTCACTTTCAACATAGTAGATTCTTCATAAATAGTCCAGAACCAGTAACCATGTGCAGCCCACGGGGATCCAGAATCACTGATTGGATTTACCAAGTGTTGACTGAAGCTGCCCTTTCTGAGACAGCCTGTCCCTTCCTTGGCCTGTGGATATTTGTGACCTTGTACAATGGGTATAGCGAGGACCTTTCTTCTGTAGATAGAAGGACAAGCTTCTAATCCCAGCTATACCAGGTTCCTACTGAGCAGCCTGGAAGGTCCTCCACCTCTCCGACTTGAGAGGTAAATGGAGTAATAATGGTGCCTATGTCACAGGACTGTCGTAAAGACTGAATGAGAAAAACACTTATTGAGACTTATGAGAACTTACAACTTTCACTTATGAGAAAGCCTGCTGTATAGGAGAGCTGACTAAATGTTAGTCCCATTACTATTACTAGCCTTCCAGCTATATACGAAGAGAATATCTACTTGAGCTTTTAGTATTTTAAAAATAAAAGTTATCAATAACAACAAACCAGAACCTTGTAAACTAGCTATGAATTGATTAGATATTCCCCTTCTAAGTTTAACACACTGGTTTCCTAGTACGATGTACATAAATGGATATGAAATACAAAGAACGGAATAACAGAAAATGTGTTGTTTTCTTAAAACATTATGATTTTAGCAAATAAATATCTTTAAAATATAGTTTAATACATTCTGGTTGCTTTTTAAAAACCACTTAATGATCATATGTTTTTCTGAATTGTAAACACTGACTTTAAAAATCATAATGCTTCATTAATGAAAGTCACAAAAAATACATTGTGTAATGTATTCTACAGGATATGCACATTTCTTTAAGAATGCATGGAATGACTGAAAATAACATGGAGGTATGAACCACAGAATGAACATGTACCACAAACAACCCTTGTTTAAATGTAAGTAGCAGGGATTGTTCTCCATCTAGTGAGCAAATACGAATGTTCTCGCATTTCATGTGAACATTTTTCTTTATTTTGGAAGCTTTATTTTTTACTTGTGTATTTTGATAATATTCAATTAAGTAAATATATACAGGCAGTAAAATTTGGTGTGATAAAAAATGTAGCATATGAATTGTACAAGTTCTTATTTCACACAAATGTAATAATATCTATATCAGTTGTCTAAGCAGACTGCAGGGTTCTGCTGGGTTGTAGGCCATTTTGAAATAAAGAATTGTGACTTTTTTTTTTCTTTTTTGAGTCGGAGTCTTACTCTGTTGCCCAGGCTGGAGTGCAATGGCGCACCCTCGGCCTACCACAACCTTTGCCTCCTGGGTTCAAGTGATTCTCTTGCCTCAGCCTCCTGTGTAGCTAGGATTACAGGTGCCCATCACCACACCCAGCTAATTTTTGTATTTTTTAGTAGAGACAGGGTTTCACCATGTTGGCTAGGCTGGTCTTGAACTCCTGTCCTGAGGTGATCTGCCTGCCTCGGCCTCCCTAAGTACTGGGATTACAGGCGTGAGCCACCATACCCGGCCGGAATTGTGACTTTCTTATAAGTTGTTTCATCTTCAAAAGCATTTTAAAAATTTCAGTTTAACTCTTAGGGAAAGTTTATACGTGTGATATTAACAATTGAATTCTTTAAATAATATAAATTAAAATAACATGTAAGACTATTTTTGTGATGTTTTTTGGTAATAATGTGGCTAGAAGATGATTTGCTAAATTCCATAATTCATTTGATATAAAGAACCAAAGACAAAAACCAAAACTTCCAACCCAACAGGGCCCCATAGAAAGACATTCATGCCCTACCCATAACACAGCTCCACCAGCCCCCACCTCCAGCTGGAGCACCTGGCGGCCTCCACCTCTGAGCGGGAGCCTGAACAGGTGTGGTGTGCGCCTCACCTGGGCCCGTCTCAAACACAGCCTCTGAACTCACAAAACCAGAGTCCCCCACTGCACCAACTCGAACTTTGTATGCTGTTCCTGGCATTAGACCCTTTAACCCAAAGAAGCTCCGAGAACCATTTACAATTTCTTTTCTCCATTCTTCTTTGCCTATGGAAATTTTGCAAAAACAACAAATTTGAATATTTTAACGGACCAGAAGTCACTTATCGCTTCAAGAAAGGAAAATTCTTTATAAGCTCAAGACAAAATGTAGGATGCTTAGGTTTACCATTTTAGATTATTATAAATGTAGTCATGTCCAATAAATCAATTAAAATGACCTATAGAAAATATCCTCAAAGAAAAATAGACTGGATATCTAGATTGCTTATTAATTTTATATATTCCCATTGTATTAATTCTCCTCTTTAACACAAAGGAAGGTTCTTTATCTGCACCTTGCCTTATGAAACTGCTGAGTTTCTCTAAAGATGTTTATCAAAAGAACTGTTATACATTAAATAGCTTAAGTGAACTATGGGAAGAATTATTTTTTAAGATTCACAAGATGAATCTTTCTGTAAACTTAAATGCCTTCCAATTCATCAATTCAACCTTTCCCAAGTATTGGTTTTTCTAAAGGGATCATTATTTCTAAAAATATTTATTTGCATGATAAAGGCTTAAACAGAAAGTTGGACTCTCTTCAACATTTTGTCACAAACATTTATTGGCCACCTCATTTATTCTATGTAGAGCACACTGCATTTAGGAGAGGGACATTGGGTTTTCATTAACCGCTGAAAGTAAAAGCTGCCCCATCTCCTAGCAGATGTGACCAGATCTAAGAAGAGTGCCTGACTTGAGAATATATCAAACATTAAAACATATTTAATGCTCTCCCAAAGTATTAATTTTCTTCAGTTTTTTATAAAATTCTGTTTGGCTAGTTAGGGCAAAATGAATACTTCCAATTCAGTTTAATTTCTGCTACTTCAAAGTTCGATTTGAAACAAACCTGCTTTTCTTTCCTACTAGTACTTGCAAATATAATTATTCCTTATTACCCTTGTTTATGTGTGTGGGCATAGAGCCAGTTTTAAGTACCATGATATGAAAATAACATACGTAATGGAACATATGCCCTCTGTTATTAACATAAAAAGTGATTCCTGGTTATGCATAAAATATGTGGTATGCTGATGGCTCACTATAATTTTTTAAGATAACTCATTCATCGAATTGGATCAAATTTTTTTCAAGATGATCCACAGTAAATTCTTAAGAAAGTTCTTAATCTTTTAAAATGCATCCTCCAAATTAAAAATCGGGTAATGAAATGGTTTCTTACTGCCTGCTACACCATATTCAACATAAAAGTTGACATGCTCTGGTCCCTCATATTCCCAACTGATATTGGCATAGGTCTCAGCAGCTGCAGCAGTAAGATTGCTGATCCTGGGATTTACTGCTTGAACTAAATATACAACAGAAAAATAAAACAGACAAACAATCATATTGCAGCACCATACACGCAAATATAAAATAAGTTTAAATACTCTGAAATTGTGCAAATAGAATTAAATAATAATTTACTGTTAAAACTTAGGATTCACTCATGCTTCACTTTCATTACACAGAAATATTTTTTGCTTCTTAATGAGAGCATTAGGAAATAAATTAATAATCAGAAATAATGATGCATAATGTTAAAATTTATGAGTTCTATTATATGGGTTCTGAACAAAGTAAACTGTTGTCCACTAGATACATTCCTGGGAAATGTCACTGTCTTCATTTACTAATGTGTGATGGAGAGGGGGACTGCTGAACAATCCCAGGGACAGAAGTCATCATGGAATATCAGAGACTCCAAGGTAAAACCCAATACTATATCGCTACTTTTCAATTCTATGTGTCATCTCCATGCAGGTCTTTGCAAAATCTGTGTTGGTGTGACAGAGAATGCTCCTTTGAACAGCAGCTTTTGATCTGTTTTAAAAAGCATACTTCTTTGAGTGTCAAACTCTGGGGAACTCAGGGACCCCAGGTAAAGAACCCCTGCTTTAGAGAATGATGTTGGAAGGGAAGCTGCAAAAGGAATTGCCAGATATGTTCTACCAGAAGTTAAGAAAAAATAAAGAAAATAAGTAAAAACTATTTCATGTAACATATCCCAGAGAGCAAGACAATCTTACCTGTTAACTGTTTGTTACAAAGCATTTTCTGAAAGATCATAGTGCAACCTAAATAGCTTCTTAAAAATCCAAATTATGGAGACCAGATGATGCTACATGCTTGCTACCGGGTAAAGACAACATCTAAAGTCATTAAAAAATGTTATTTGAATACCTAAGGCTGGCAATTCTGTCAGTCCTACCTCAATAGCTTAAACTAAAAATGAAATATTTACAGATGTGTTAACTTGGGCAGTTAAAAAATAAGATCAATTTATTATCCCACATAAAATTGACTAGAATAGTAAATCAGACAGCATCAATGGGTTTACACAGACACTAAAATTTTATTTTAAGTTATGTTTATAAAATTTAGATGCTCAAGACCTTTGTTCAAATAAATGTAATAAAATCACATGTCTTAGAATTGAGAAAAGAAAGATATTAAAGCGGTTAAATAATGCTCTTGACTTCTGAAATATAATTCAACAACACATGCAAATTTTGTATCTCTTTGTGCTAAGCATGGGGAAACAGCAGAGGGCAAAACTGATTACTGAATTACGCAGAGTCCTTCTGTGGACTTAATTAATTTTAGTTTTCTGAGATTTTCTTCTTATAGGAAAAAATAATAGGAATATGATCAATCAGTGACACTAAATATGCATACGTGTGTAAAACATCGATGGCAATCATTATGGAAAAACATCAATTTTCTTAAAAGATTTTGGAATACTGAAACTGAGGAATTTAATCTTGAAGTAATTATGGAAGATGTTCAAGGCAGAACCGTAATACTTCTAACACAGAGCATTTACTAACAGAAGAGCAAAATACTTCTAACAGAAGAGCATTTAGCTTCTTATTATTTTTTACATTGGTTTCTATGGGTGCTCCCTTCTCAGAGTTTCTTCCCCAAACTGTTTTTATTATTATTTTGTTTCTGGTTTTATTGAAATGAAATCAGTATCTCTACAAGGTATCTACTCTCCTGTGTTCATTGCAGCATTGTTCACAGTAGTCAAGATATGAAAACAACCTAAATATCCATTGACAGATGAATGGACAAAGAAATTACCATATATATACACAATGGGATATTATTCAGACTTTAAAGAGAAGGAAATCCTGCCATTTGCAACAACATGGATGAGCCCAGAGGATACTATGCTAAGTAAAATAATCCAGACACAGAAAGACAAATATTGCCTGATCTCACTTAAATGTATGTGAAAGGAAAATAAATCTTTGGGCCCCCAAATCACTAAGCTAAAGGGAAAAGTCAAGCTGGGAACTGCTTAGGACAAACCTGCCTCCCATTCTTTTCAGAGTCATCCCTCCACTCACTGAGATAAACGCATATCTGATTGCCTCCTTTGGAGAGGCCAGTCAGAAACTCAAAAAGAAGGCAACCATTTGTCTCTCACCTACCTATGACCTGGAAACTCCCTGCTTCCAATTGCCCCACCTTTCCAGACCAAACCAATGTTCATCTTACATATGTTGATTGATGTCTCATATCTCCCTAATGTGTGTGAAACCAAACTGTGCTCTGGGCACCTTGGGCACACATCTTCTATGTGTCTAAAATGTCACAGGCTATGTCAAGGGCACATGTCCTCAATCTTGGCAAAACAAACTTTCTAAATTAACTGAAACCTGTCTCAGATTTTTGGGGTTCATATGTGGAATCTAAAAAAGTTATACTTAGAGAAATAGAGTGTAGAATAGTGGTTGCCAGGGGCTAGGTGTGGGGTGTGGGTTGGGGAAATGGGGAGATGTTGGTCAAAGGGTACAAACTTTCAGTTACAAAATGAACAAGTTCTAGAGATCTAATGTACAGCATCATATTATTAATTACAGTTAATAATAAAGTATGATACACCGGAAATCTGCATTTAGTTTATTCTTAAGGGTACCCAGAAAAGATACCACAATTTCCTAAGGTATGCTGTTTGGCCAATTTTATCATAGAGAATTTTAACTCTCCTTCCTTTAATCCCCACTCATCTACTTTCTCACTCACAAAGTTCCTATGTTGTACCCATCCAAGGGGGCTCTAGTGTCACCTTTTTCTGGGCTTTCCCAACTGGCTGCTTCTGGTATGCCTCCCCGAGCTGTAGGTCTTTCTCTGTAGATACCACTAGTGTAGTTAACCTACATTTTAGCTATTGAAACTACAATTCTAATCTAGCCACCTCTCTGTTTAAAACTATGCCTATAGGTAAATACAAATTCCTTAGCAAGGCATTCATGGCTATTCAGAGCTGTTACCATCTGGCTCTATCCAGCAATCCAGTCTCATCTCAGTGCCTTCTCTTTTCCACACACTCTCTACATTTCAGCCTAAGTGGACTGCTTGGTATAACCCACACATCTGGTGTGTTTTCAAATCCCATGCCTTTGCTTATACCCCATATCAAGACTTTACACACTACAACTCCCTGATTCATCTGCCAAAAACTAAACAAAACAAAAACTGGGCTTCAAGGCCCCCAGCTCAATATTATTTTCTTTGTGAAGCTTTTCCTGATCCTGCTTGGCAAAATAAATTGGAGCACATATATGATATTGTGCTCCAATTTCTAGTTTAGGATCCACTTATTACTCTTTCTATGTGTTGGTCTTACCTGCCAGATTTTAAGCATGTCAAGGGCAGGATTTGACCACAGTAGGCTGCAAATTAGGTCAAGAATGTCTTTACACACAGCCTCTTAAACAAAGGCAGGTGCATTTTACGTGCCAGAGTGACATTCACTGTTGAACTGACTGAATCCTCTATGCTTCCAGGTATATCTTGTTTTGTTTTCACTTAGGCCAAAAAAGGAATTTTATTTTTTTATTTACTCATTCTTATTTCTGGCAAAATAATATAGTAGGAGTCAGATCACAGAAGGGATTCAGCACTAGCTGATCCTCAATGCTCTTCTCTGCTAATTCCTAACTGGTTGACCATAGTGGGCTGCAAGTTAGCCCAAGAATGCAGATTCCTGACTTGCCAGTTAGTTTCTCCCTGTTTCTGTATTCCAACTAGTCACCGTATAATAGTATTTTGATGTTTGGTCTCCAGAGTGCCAGATTAAATGCAATGAATAAGGCACTGTGGATCATCAGCAGTACCAACATAACTCGAATCTTTTTGAGTTTGCACATTTTTGGTTCATTTCTATACATGCCTTCACAGGACTGCTTCCTACAATTCCGGACCCTGAAATCATTTATTTATTTATTTATGAGATGGAGTCTTGTTCTGTCACCCAGGTTGGGGTGCAGTGGCATAATTTCGGCTCACTGCAGCCTCCATAACCTGGGTTCAAACAATTCTCCTGCCTCTGCCTCCCAAGTAGCTAGGACTATAGGTGTACGCCACCATGCCCGGCTAATTTTGGTATTTTTAGTAGAGACAAGGTTTTGCCACGTTGGTCAGGCTGGTCTTGAACTCCTGACCTCAAGTGATCTGCCTGCCTCAGCCTGCCTCCCAAAGTGCTGGGATTACAGGCATGAGCCACCACACTAAGCCTCATTTAAAGAGACATAGAAATTGAACAAATACGCCAATCAACTATAATTCCTACACAAATATTGAAAGTTTTAACCCAACAAGGAAAAGGATAGAAATAAATGACTCAAAGATCTTGATTACTTAATTGTATTAAGGAGAATCTTAAGAAGAAGGGTTAGTATGGCATCAAATAGTTAATTGAATTATCCTCAGTTTTCCTTCAGGTTTATAATCATTTTGTAATTATATATTTAAAAACTTAGGTTTCATTAACATCTCTTAAAATCTGTAAGAAAATTAAAAAATTAAACTCAGATGCATTTCTTTTCCCCTCTTTGACCAGAAACAAATTAAAACCACTTTTCATGAAATTGTAATTCATAATAAAATCATATTAGATGTTGATGCTTTTTTTTTTTTTTTTGAGACAGTTTCCCTCTTGTCGCCCAGGCTGGAGTGCAATGGTGCGATCTCAGCTCACTGCAACCTCCACCTCCCGAGTTCAAGTGATTCTCCTGCCTCAGCCTCCTGAATAATTGGGATTACAGGCGCCTGCCACCATGCCTGGCTAATTATTGTATTTTTAGTAGAGATAGGGTTTCAGGATGTTGGCCAGGATGGTCTTGAACCCCTGACTTCAGGTGATCTGCCTACCTTGGCCTCCCAAAGTGTTGGGATTATAGGCATTAGCCACCATGCCTGGCCATGCTGATGCTTCTACAGCTAAGGATATCACATATTTTCTCTTTATTCATCTCTTATTTATTCGTTTTCTCCTGATTTAAATAAAAATTTAAAAGATACCTTTAAAAATGAAAATTTGGAAGGATCTTGGAGAACTTTAATTTTTCTCCTATCACAGAGAAACTAAACTCCACATAGAGAAGGAAAATAGAGAATAGGATAGAATTCATTTTCAGATTTATAAAATAAATATTTTTAAGGAAAGAAAACCCAGAATCACAAATTATGCTTGAGTGGTTTAAAGTCTCACCATGGTAAAATATCATCTTATGTAAGCCATACTTAACTACTGCTATACTATCTAAATAAACCATCTTAAAATTAAGGTCAGATTTAGCTTTTTTTCCTGCTTATTTAAACATTATTTCTTTTCTTATCTGAGATCTGTCAGATTTTAATACTGGGGGCTTAATGAACTTTCAGACACTCCATTTTTGCTTGTCTCTTTATTCATAAGTAACTCACAATTCAAAGTAGTAACGTAAAATGGTAAAACCAAAACTCTTTAAGGATTTCCTTTAGTTTTAATTTATTAAAAACAGAGGGGTGATTTCTTTTTCTGTAGAGTAGATATCTACTTTTAACATAACAAGTCCACTGAAAATTCAGACTTGCTTCACAGACAGTCCAACTGAGGCACAGTTTCTCTACTATCAACTCTAGGCATAGCCATAATGACATGTCCACTGCATAGGAAAAATGCCAGGCTTTTAGTGAAATGCTCCAATTGAAGTTATAAAGCAGTATATTATTGTAAAACAACTAACGATTTTAATTACTATCTAATCACAGGAAGGAAGTATACAAATAAACAGCTTACATCTTTCTTTTTTCTTTCTTTCTTTTATTTTTTTTGAGACAGGGTCTCGCTCTGTTCCCCAGACTGGAAGACTGGAGTACAGAGGCAAGATCTCAGCTCAGTGCAACCTCCGCCTCCCTGGTTCAAGTGATTCTCCTTCCTCAGTCTCTCGAGAAGCTGGGATTACAGGCACGCGCTACCATGCCCAGCTAATTTTTTGTATGTTTAGTTGAGACAAAGTTTCACCATGTTGACCAGGCTGGTTTCGAACTCCTGACCTTTTGATCTGCCTGCCTCGGCCTCCCAAAGTACTGGGATTACAGGTGTGAGCCACTGTGCCTGGCCAGCTTACATCTTTCTATGATATTATAGAAATTTTGAATTTTTACTTCATCCTTTCAAGTCTAAAAACACAAATGTAACACTCTAAAGATTACTGAAAATGGTCATAGTTCTTATTCAGTAACTCCAAAATTTATCTGATCAGTGTTTTGTAATTTATCAACACTCTGAATATAAGCAAATTTCTAAGCAAACAGAATAAATCTATCAAGACTAAGCTCACAAGATCTGAATATAGGGCAAAGCACCTGGTTTTCCTTTTCTTCATTCCTGTTTGTACTCACCTGATCTGTGAAAGCCCAGGAAAACCCCTGACCATGGGCACACCATGTGAAAATAGTGCCCAGGGGCAGGTGCTCCACTGCTTTCTAAAAAGCTGACTGGTCAACCAGCAGCCAGGGGGCAAAGACTGTGGCATCTTTGGCATTGCCATAGATGGAAGACATATTACAACTTATTCAAGCACCATTCTCCCAACAAATCTTTTTAACCCAGAGAGGTGTCAGAAATAAAGGAGAACAAAAGTGATCCATTGTGGATTGTTGGTATTACTCAGGAGGAAGAGACTTAGGCAGCTGTGTGAAGACAGGAGGGGATAACACATTTAAGAAGAGCACCTGGAAAACTCACTTGGAGGGAACCCTAAGCTTGGGGAGACTTAGTCCCAAACCGGTTGGAGGGCACTGCTACACTGCAATTCCAAATGGATGGTTTTGTGCGGTGGGAGCCAAGTGTACACTGTATCTACAAACAGAGCAGCTAAATCGGAATATAACAGGAAGCTTGGTTGATCTCATTTCTAACAGGCTGTTTTCATCACAGGGCTAACATTTCTGAACTCCTAATAATGTGGTATGGCCACATAGAGGATCTGTGACAAATCCAGTTTTGGTCCTGTCTGATCCAGCCAAAATCATAATATTAAATGCTAAGATTAGGATTTGTACCAGGGATGAGTCTCAAGAAAAAATTTTGGGAGAATTCAATATGTGGCTTTCTACTTATAAAGAAAGGACTAGAAATTAATTTTAAAGCCAAGATTGGATGAGATATTCTCTTCTTTTGCTGGTTCAAAGCATATTTTATTTTCTGTTTTACCCATGCTGCACTTCCCCATGTTTCACATTGCAAATTTCACACATGTATAAAGTCATGCAGATGAATTATTTTACCTTTGCCTGCACCTACATCAGGTGGAAGAATACCAGCTTTAATGAAGGGAAACAGAAATAGGACACTATATAGTTAGATGTAACACACCCATGAGCATGTATAGTGATATAAAAACACATATTAAAATGCTAAGCATGCAAGAAGAATAAAATGTACCCCACCAGGTATAAGGGACAAAGATATGTTGGTGTCCCCAAACTTACTCAGTGTTCAAATCCACACATTACTTAAGGTGCATTATTCATACTTGTTTATTATGTAAGAAGGCTTGGGATATTTCAAACCAATTTTAGGATAGAAATTGTCAATTTCTTGGGCTATCAAAGATAGTCAAATGAATAATCCTTAAGCAACTCTACAATTTAGAGACATGCAAAACCAGAAAATCTTTTACAATATTTTTGATAATTTTCATCAAATCTAAAGATTTCAGAATAACTTTCTAAAGTATGAAGTGTTAATTTCTTTTTCTAAATGCTGTGATGGGTTATTTTGCTTTCTTTGTACATACCAAAATATAAAATCTTTTGCTTAAACACAAAATAAATGCACTATTTAACTGTTTTGATTTCTTTGCTAGAAAACCTGAATCGATATGCGAACTAGAAAATTATTTCTAGTAAATCAGGACCAGAACTAGAATTACATATATGTGTGTGTATACAGGTGTGTATGTCTGTGTATGCACAGATGTGTGTGTACATATGTATGTGCATATATATATGATATATAAAGTTGTAAATAGGAAACACATTGCCTTGAACTTTAAATTCAAGCATAGCAAATATTATGCTTATTCACACCCACCCTAAGATTTTAATATAAGTTTTAAAAAGTTTTGGAGTTGAAAAATATCAAAGTTAGTCCAATATGAGCTAAATAGCTGATTGTGTATCAGAATGAGAAATTACAAATAAGTGTTTATGTTAATAAGGGTTTGGGTTAATGGAGTATCGGGTATAGATACTCCATAGCAGGAAGGAAAAAGCATGAACTTAAAGCTTTTTATTTCATGATGCTGATAATATATGGATTTTATACATACCCATCTTACCTTCATCCACAGTTGTTACTGCTTCCTCTGTAATCTGACTTCCTGATCCTGCTGATGTTTGTGCATAGAAATAAAACTTATATCGAGTGCTGAAATTTAAATTTTTTAAAGTCCACCGCGTCTTATTGGCAGGAATTTTCAAATCTACCAGAGGGCCTAATTCATGTGTGCTGTTAACTGTCAATAAGAAAAAACAAACAAGTGCATTCTCCATTAATTGCTGTAGGAATACTATTATAAATGCACCAACTAAAAACGTTAAACCTGGCTTACACTGACTTTTATAATGCTATTCACTTTTCACCCAGCATAACTAGGTGATAACCTTTTAACAGTTTCTATACTATGTTATATTATATCATATCATCACATCATAACACAAGGGGGAATATGTTCTTTATTGGCTAATAAACTAGAAGAATTTTGTGGCTGAATCACAATAGAACTTTTTTCCCCTATATTCTCGCAGGTGGAGTTGTATTGTTAAATAACCCCAAACATTTTTCTTCAGAGGCCTGTGCCAAAGAAACTCTTTTCTATTTACAGAAAATGCATATCTAATTTAATGACAGCACTCACCTAAACCCCACCCCTAAAGGTCTGTATTATTCTTCAGATCACTTAATTTTTAATAAGATACAAATCATTTTTCTTTAAAAAGTAAGATCTGAAGTTCTTTTTCGGAATAACACTTGAAGGTACATGTATATATCCTACAGATAGAAATAAAAACTAGCTTGTATTTTCTGATAACAGTTAAGTATTTTTAAAACTGTATTTCTTTATTTTGAGACGAGTTTCATTCTTGTTTCCCAGGCTGGAGCACGATGGCGTGATCTCGGGTCACTGCAACCTCTGCCTCCCAGGCTCAAGCAATTCTTGTGCCTCAGCCACCTAAGTAGCTGCGATTACAGGCATGTGCCACCACGCCCAGCTAATTTTGTATTTTTAGTAGAGATGGGGTTTCTCCATGTTGGTCAGGCTGATCTCAAACTCCTGACCTCAGGTGATCCACCCACCTTGGCCTCCCAAAGTGCTGGGATTACAGGCATGAGTCACTGTGCCTGGCCTAAAACTATATTTCTAGCAAAGAGTTAAACACATGTTCTAATTCATAGGTGGAAGCTAGAAAGGTCATGTCACAGAAGTAAAAAGTAGAACAGAGGACCCCAGAGGCCGGGAAGGACAAGGGGAAGGCAAGATAGGGAGAGATTGGTTAAAGGATACAAAATGATGGCTAGATATAAAGACTAAGTTCTATTGTTCCATACACAGCTACAAGGAGGATATTAAGTGTTTCCAACACAAAGAAAGAAATATTTGAGATGATGAACATGCAAATTCCCCTGGTCTGATCACTATATGTATCAAAACATCACTATGTACCCCATAAAGAGGTACAATTATTTGTCAATGAAAATAATAAACAAAATGGAAAAAAACAGACATTTCCTTTCTCCTCCTCCCAACAGCTTACTTGGCTGATACTTTAAGGTGTACTCTGTCAAAATGCCATTCGGGTGGCTCGGTGGATCCCATTCCAAAGTGAGAGAGTCCAGTGTCGGATTCACAATCTTCAAAGACGAGGGAGCACTGGGGACTTACAATGAGAACTTAGAGTCAACACAGTCAAACAAAGGTTTCTGAATATTTCAACATGTATTAAAATAATATTTCACTGTGCTCACACAGTTCAAAACTTTGGGTTTCAGTAACTCATTCCTGATTCAGCTGAAAATACATGAGTACAAACCTGTGACAGGTACTCATTTAGTCATTCTCTTCCTCCTTCTCTCTTGTCATTTACATTTATATTCATTAAAAGCATCCTCTCAAAACAAGCAATAACTTTGCCTTCAGATGGACTCAAACCTAATCTTTTAAAAGGAAGCAGTACTTATTTGATGCATGAATGGTGTCTAAATAGAAGCAAACTAGCTACCAAGTAAAACTATTCTAACCGGATCTGTGAGTGGAAGCAGCTGTGTTCTGGACCATTAAGGACTGTTTTCTCCAGCAAACCAGGTGTCTCCAAACAGTCACAGTTCCCTGCCTGGTGGGCTTTGGGCCAGCCTGCCCAGGTGCAGAGACATTCTTATCCTGAGAGCTGACAGCTGCCCAGGATCTGGTGGCGAATGGACAAAAGCTCAATCCTGGCTCACCCCTGGCCCTGGGGAAGGGCTGAGGGGTGTCAGGTTCTCTGTGGCAGAGGCTGGCAAATCACCAGAGGAAGCATGTCTGGTCGTCTTTTATTCACTTCCTCATGAGGGTGATGGCTGGGGGCAGCTCTCCTTCACAATGGTCACCACCCCCTACCACTGTCCCTGGAAACGAACTAATGGGACACTCTCCCTGTTGTCACTCTAGCCAAAACCCAGAGAGTCAACCTGGACTCTCCCATCTGCCTCATTTCCAACATCTCAGACACTAACTCCTGTTCACTCCACTCCCTTCATTAAACCATGTCCATGTCTTCTTCTCCCCATCTTCTTTGTCACCTCCCTGCTTTAGGCTCTCAGATGTCTTTGTCTGACCTAAAACCATGCCTGGCACATAGTTTCAGGCTTCCAAGCTTCCCCAACCCAGTAAGTCACAGACCCTTTCGAGAATCTGATGATAGCCATAAACACTCTCTGGAAAAATATACACATATCTTGCATACAATTTTAGGAGTTTCATGGAGCTTGTTGAGCTCATTCATTGACTCCCTAAGGGGCTACAGTCCCCAGGTTAACAGACTGTGGCCTGCAGGTTGGTCAACAGCACCCAAGATCATCCATGATATGAGCCTTCCCTAACCGACCTTCATCCCTTTTCTCACAAGTTCTGGCCACACAACTTTTCTGAAGGAGCCAGGCTATTTCCTATCTCTGTGTCTTCAGACATACTTCTTCCTCCCTTCTTTATCCTTCAACCCTCTGATCATCTCCTCTATGCCACTTTTCCCTGAACCATCTAAAGAACCATTGTGAGGCCTTACTTGTGAAAGCCTTGAGTAGGAAGAGCCCTGACTCTAAAGGACAGTAAGATTGAGGACAAAAACTTATAATGGGATGGGAGCTGGGATGCAGGGTGGTTCTCAGATTTGCAGCTGCCCACACCATGAATCTTTCAACCAGGAGCCAGGGTGGGGTGCATCTTCTATGACCTTCTTCTATCAGAAAGAGCTAAGCAATCTATAGAAGCTATCTAGCCATTGTCACAGCAGCATTGTTGCAAAATTTAAAATAGGTAAAGCCCATTTTAGTGCCTTTTCAAATCCTCATCCTTTTTTTCTACGTGGCCCCCTCCCTCCCTCACCCACAAGGCTCACTCATCCCTGTGTCCAAATTCCTTCTCCCCCAATTCCAGGATTAATATATATGTGATCCTCCCTCATTCCGTCCCTTGCAGTTGCCCATATCTGCAATGATTTTTCTCTCCTCTTCCCAATCCACTTGGTCAAGACCTGCAACCTTCTAACTCAGTTCCACTTTCTAATAAATTATAAAAGTGCACTAAGAAAGAAGCTATAGAAGTAAACTATAACTTACAGAAATAGTTTCCTTTTCAAGGTGTTTTGTTAGGTTATCTAATTTGGTTCTCATGCTTTTTAGATGAGGCTACTGACACTCAGAGAAGTTAAAGAACCTCTTTCATGTCAGAGTAGCAAGGTTTCAGACCGTGTGTGTGGAGAAAAATTTTAAGTCAAGGGAGAGGGTGTTTCAGAGCAGCATTTTGGGTTCCAAAGCCTTCTACGTACACTTAGGCCACATATGATCTGACATTCTGGCAGCTTTGTGTGTGCTGTACTCATCGATGGAAATTTCAATCACATTTGGCTTCCAGAATATATTTTGATCAGTAGCCCTTCTGTCAGGCCAAACCTCTCAGGCCATGCCATATGTTCCTGGGATCTTAAAGATGTATCCATTCCATACCTCCTTCTGGAGTATTAAAGACTTTGTCAGGGCTGGCTGGGCCCTCCCCTTTCCCATTGACCACTCGGACGTTCAGTGTGTAGTGGCTAAAGGGCTCCAGCCCCGGCAACATGCCATGCGTCTTGCTGCCTTGGAAGGTGAGGATCTTTTTCTCAATGTGACGTCTGTTTCTTTTAGGTGAATTTTGTGTCTTCCAGTAGTAAATCTGCAACAGCAAGAACTTAAGTCAGGAATGCACAAAGGAGCAAACAAGATTCCTTATGCTCACCAAATTGAAATTGTTGTTTTTCCAGAAAATTCCCTTGGTACATTTTAGAAGAAAATTGCTAGCAAGACTGACGGACATTGATTCTGAGGAAAGAGGAATAGAAGCCCATAGATGATGAGGGAAATTAAATTACAGCCACATGATAAAGCTGGGCTACACTATTTTGTCGTAGGAGTCTAAGCAAAATGAAACAGCACGAGGCCCATATGGTTTTCTCTAGAACACGAGGCAAACGGAGGACAAGAGGATTTAAGTCTTTTACTTGTATAAACTATTTTAAAAATAAAAATCACTGCCCAATGTTTACATACTTTTCCAGAATTAATACACGTTCATGTACAACCTATCATTTAGTTTAATCCTAAACCCTACACTGGGGCTTTTATTACTGTTACTTATATGGTGCAGATGAGCGGGTGGCTATTAAGTGAATTTCACAGCCACAGAGATATCAAAAGCTACAGGGGAATCCTCCACTGAAAGTCTAGAATTTTTCCACTAAATCAAGCTAGTTTAAAATACTTTTTTTTTTTTTTTGGTATTCAATTGCAGGCACAGGTTTTGAAGAGATGGCTAAAAAAGTATTGATTAATTTTGGTCACAAATCCAGAATTTTTTATTAAGTCCTCTTAAATTCTTAGTAATTTAAAGGCATTTTCAAGAGAAGTCAACATTTATATGAAATCTGGCAATACTAGGGGAGGAAAAAAAAAAATGTTGAATGTGATGTAGTACAAAAAGTGACCTCTAGGGGTCAGGCTGAGCAAATCAAAGTAATGACTGTATGCTTGGCTGCCTATCAGTTAAAAATCTCTACGAATCAGTGCTTCTCAAGAACAAAGGTAATGGATATTTATAAGGATGACCTCGATGAGAACATATGGTCCTAAAGTATATTCTGCATTATTTAAAAAATGCCTACATTATTATCAGGATAATTTTGTATGTTCAACCCATGTGGTCCATATTGTTTTAAAGCTAGCTACGGTTAGTAATAGTCTAGGTCTTTAAAAAATTAGTTTCCCCATTTTGTATACATACTTACTTGGCAGAATGTTAGATCATCAGTGGAAAAAATGGAGAAAACTTTTTTTTTCTTATTTTGGATTCAGTGAGATTTCAAGTCAACTCTGGCCATGGCCCTGCCTGAGGCAATAAGCCAAATGAACTCTCCAGTCCACAAGTTCATAAAGCAATGAACCAAGTATGTCCTTCCTCATGTGGTGTGCATGACAAGTGGCATTCACTGCTGCCCTTACTAAAGAAAGCCATGAAAGGTCCCCCTCCACTTGCCCGATAGCCTTGCAGGTGTCCTCGGATGCTTTTCAGAGGTACTGGGTCCCAGTGCACTTCGGCTAAGGTACTGTTCACCACATTCACTTGCACATTCCCGGGAGCAACCATTGGGACTAGGAAAAGGACAAGGAAGTGGTAGAAGTATCAATGTTATTTTGAATTTCATCCATAAATATCACTATCTCCAATCATTTTGATTTAAAGCATACTCAGTCCTATTCCATGGATTATTAAGCATTGAATACAGATTTTGGGGTAAATGACTTTGTGAGAGTTTTTTTTTTTTTTTTTTTTTTTTAAGATGGGGTTTTGCTATGTTGCCTAGGCTAGACTTAAATTCCTTGGCTCAAAGGATCCACCCACCTCAGCGTCCTGAGTAGGAAAACAAGGTTTTTTTTTTTTTTTTTTTTTTTGAGACGGAGTTTCGCTCTTTTCACCCAGGCTGGAGTGCAATGGCGCGATCTCGGCTCACCGCAACCTCCGCCTCCTGGGTTCAGGCAATTCTCCTGCCTGCCTCAGCCTCCCGCGTAGCCGGGATTACAGGCACGCGCCACCATGCCCAGCTAATTTTTTGTATTTTTAGTAGAGACGGGGTTTCATCATGTTGACTGGGATGGTCTCGATCTCTTGACCTCGTGATCCACCCACCTCGGCCTCCCAAAGTGCTGGGATTACAGGCTTGAGCCACCGTTTTTTAAAAGTACAGTTAACCCTTGAACAACATGGATTTGAACTGCATGGGTCCACTTACATGTGGATTTTTTTTTCCCTGCACAAATACAGTCAGCCCTCTACATCTACAGGTTCTCCATCTAGAGCCAAAGAAGATGGAAAACATGGTATTCTCAGGCACAAACCCCACAGATATGGAGGGCTGATTTTTCATATAGGCGGGTTCCATGGGGCCATCTGTGGGACTTAAGTATTTGCAGATTTGGGTATCTGAGGGGGGGCGTTCTGAAACCAATCCCCTGTGGCTACCAAGGGACAACTATACTGCAATCACTGTGAACGTTGTGAACGTCTCTTTCTTACACAGCAGGCTGTTTAAACTCAGAGAAGTCATGCAGACTAATCGCGACCTCCCTCCCTTGCAAACTGAGCACCTCTGGAAATGGCCTTGGCTTGCACCTTGGTTAAGTCTGTTTTGCTGGAAAAAGTAGAAAGGAAACAGCATCACTTACGGTCTTCTCCAGAATGTCCCATGACTACAGCTGGCTCGGGGGCAAACCCCACATCATTCAGGGCCTGAACTTTGATCAGGTATGGAACAAAGGTTGGCGTGCCTGAGACAATATATTTGGATACATTTGCCACAACCACAGACGTCCATTCATCATCACCATCTTTCTGGCGCCAGCTAACTTTGTATTGAAGGCCTGGCCCATTAGATTCAAAACCATTCAAGGGCTATAAGAAAAGCCAAATAACCAGAGCTTATAACACAGATCGACTGCATAGTCTTTTACAGGAACAGCAAATTCAATTCCCGGATCTAAGAAAGTGATCACTGAGATACTAAAACACAAGCTATTAACCATTTTCTCCAGGGACCTTTTATCAATTGTGCATTTGCAATGAGATTCAAAGCTTGTTTGGGATCAACATTTCAAAGGTTGTAGATTACTATCTTAAAGCAATAAATAACCATATAAGCCTTTCAAACTCTGGCTCTACAGTCAAGGATAGGTGATTCTTAAGACATTTCAGTCACATGGAATCCTTTATGTATTCCTGTTTGTGCAACAGTACATCATTGTCCATTTTACTTTCAGATGGAAACCTATGGACTGTTTTCCTCTTTATTAAAAAAAAAAGGCTACCCTGCCATTCTGTTGTTCCTACGTTTGTATGAATATAAGTATGTACATATATGTATACATGTAAGTATGCATGTATGGATCTATCTAAAATAGGTTTTGAATTATAAGTAAATATACGCTACTTTTCAAAATTACAAAACACATATAAGTTTCATCACTAAAGAAGTTGACTGCTGGGAATAGTTTGGTGATTGTCTTTCAGTGGTTCTTCTTTTTTTCTTTTTTTGAGACAGAGTCTGGCTCTGTCATGCAGGCTAAAGTGCAGTGGCACAATCTGAGCTCACTGCAACCTCCAGCTCCCGGGTTCAAGCTGCCTCAGCCTCCCGAGTAGCTGGGATTACAGAGGTGTGCCACTATGCCTGGCTAATTTTCATATTTTTAGTAGAGACAGCATTTTACCATGTTGGTCAGGCTGGTTCTGAACTCCTGACCTTGTGATCCGCCCACCTTGGCCTCCCAAAGTGCTGGGATTATAGGTGTGAGTCACCGCACCTGGCCCCAGGTGGTTCTTTAAGATAACACTAGCTAGCATTTTTTTTTCTAGGTGCTTTATATATATTAGCCCCTTTAATACTATGAAATCGTAGTTTTCAAAAATAGAAATCGGTTCTATTACCATTTCCATTATACAGATGCCTGATAGAGATGTTAAACAACTGGCCTAAGGTCATAGAGTTTGTGGCAGAGCTGGGATTTACACCCAATCATTCTGGCTCCAGAGCTCAAGCTTTTAATAACTACACAATACTACCTCTTAATAAACACACACACACACACACACACACACACACACACACACACACACATATTCTTCCCCCAGAAATGGGTGAAATGGGATTTTAACGTAGACATTATTTTCAAACAATTTTTCACTCTAAAATATAGTGAATAAATTTAAAGGCATCATAGCTCACCTTCCATGTAATCACCAAATTATCAGGCTCTGATCCCAATCCTTCCACAGCTGTGGGGTTTTTATCTGGTTCTAGAAGTTAAGCAGCCACATATGCTTAAGCTTTGGTCTTTTGCAAAGAGTGGAAAACTTTTTTATTTCATTTTGTACCCCAGAAGTCCAGTTTTCCTGCTTTACCTGAGGCCTTCGTCAAATACTGCTCAGATGCCTCACTAGGCAAGCTCTTCCCGATGCTGTTCACGGCTGTCACGCGGAAGGAGTAGTTCACATAAGGAGACAGCTTTAGCTGGGCTGTGGTCTGTGTTCCAGAAACTTCAGTTTGGTGGTGCCACAGCCCTGGCTCATGCATCGCATCTTCATATTCGATGATGAATTCTGGCCATGACACACACACACACCAAACCCAAGAAAGTAAATTCAGTTACCCCAGGGGTAGCTGCTGGTGATAACTAGGGCACAGCAAATTCAACTTACAGGAACCGCAAATTCAATTCCTAGACCTACAGAAAGTGATCATTGAAATAGTAAAGCACAAGCTATTAACCATTTTCCATTAACCATTAGCCAGGTGTAGTGGTGCGCACCTGTAGTCCCAGCTACTCAGGAGGCTGAGGCAAGAGAATTGCTTGAACCCAGGAGGCGGAGGCTACAGTGAGCAGAGATTGCACCACTGCACTCCAGCTTGGGCAACAGAGGGAGACTCCGTCTCAAAAAAAAGAACCACCTAGAATATATGCACCAAGCTATTCCCAGCAGTTAACTTCTTTAGTGGGGAAAGCATATCTGTGTTTTCTGGATTTGGGAAATTAACATACATTTATTCATAATTCAAAACCTATTTTAGATAGCTCCAACATGAGCAACCAAACATGAATTATTTTACTTTCAAGAAAAATACCATTAAAATAGTTTGATTTCATAGTTCTATCATTATCCTCAACACAAGCATACATGGTGACACTTAGGTGGAAATGGCATCTCACTGTATTTAATTTAATTTCTCCTATTATGAAAAAAAATTGTCCAACTTTTCATATATTTAAAATTTTTAGGAATATATAGATTAATTCTAAACAGTTTTAGATTTACCTAACCTGGTATTCTTTCTCCAGCATGCTGAGTTTAGCTACTTAAAACTGTTTAGAATTAACCCATATATCCCTAAAAAGTTTAAATATATGGAAAGATAATCACATTTTTTTCATAATAGGAGAATTAAATATGAGATGCCATTTTCCACTCAACATATTGGCAATATCAAATGTTTAGCACACTTCGTTGACTATGACACAAAGAAGCAATCATTCTGACTTTGTAGGAAGGGTGTAAGTTGGAACAACTTCTGTATAAGACAATTTAGAAAATCTGTCAATATTTAAGGCACATACTCTTTGAGAAATTTTACTTCTAGCAATTTATTTTGAATAAATGTGCTCACACAAATGGCTCAAACACATGAGAAAGAATCTACATTGCAGTATTATTTGTAATTGAAATAACCTAATTGCAAACAGTGTCCATCGATAGGACACTGACTAAACAAATTACACTATGTCCACACAATGAAATACTCTGCAGCTATTAAAAATGACTGTTGGCCAGGTGCGGGGGCTCACACCTGTAATCTCAGGACTTTGGGAGACCCAGGTGGGTGGAGTCCAGGAGTCTGAGACCAGGCTGAGCAACCTAGTAAAACCCCTTCTTTTCAAAAAATTAGCTGGTTGTGGTAGTGTGCACCTATAGTCCCAGGTATTAGGGAGGCTGAGGAGGGAGGATCACCTGAGACCAGAAAGTCGAGGCTGCAGTGAACCATGATCAAGCCACTGCACTCCAGTCTGGGCAACAGGGTGAGACCCTGCCTCAACAAAAGAGAAAAAAAATGAATAGGGCTGTTCCATATGTGCTGAAATGAAAGATTTCTAAAATGTATTGTTAAGTGAAACTAAGCAGGGTATAGAATCATGTGTGCTGTGTACTATGCTTGTGTAAATGTAAAAAAAATACTACAACAAATAGACATATTCACTTGCATGTACATGCATTACCTCTCAGACAATATACACTAACACTGGTGTGACCGGAAGACCTGGGAGTCAGGAATGGGAGGAAGACATACTCTTAGTAGATGCACACCCTCTGCATCTACTAAAATGCTGTGGTCTGTACACATTTTACCCTTGTAAAATAATAGGTATTGGATATTCATTGATTGTCTACTATGTGCCAGGAGCCATGAATGAACTACAAACACAAAGATAACTAAAAATATTATATGTGTTGCAGTGGTTCAAAACTAGGTCCTTGGAGTTTCCCTTTCAATCCACATTCATCTTTGGGTGATCTCTAGTCCTATAAATGAATAACTTTCACATTTATAGCTATAGTCTGGACCTCTTCCCTGAACTACAGACTCAGAACATCCAACTGTCTGCTTGACAATTCCACTTAGTTGTCCACGACAGCATCTCAGACTGGATAGGACCAAAAGTAATCCCAATCTTCCTCTCCAGTTGACAGTGACAACCCAGGTCAAAACCTGGAATCCTGTTTTCCTACATCTTCCACACTCTCGGTAGTACAATGGCCTGTGTACCATTAAAATATATCCCAAATCTGTCCATTTCTCAGCCTCTTCCAGGCCACTCTCCTCTCTTATGAGAATGATCACATAACTTCCTAACTCAGTAGTTCCCAAACTTTCTTGGTTCACGATATACTTAGTGTCTCCATAATTTATTTTTCATGGCTCCCATAGGCCAAAAGAATGACCTAATGTTTTCATGTATTAAGTAGCTAGGTTCATACAACTTGATATGTTGTATGTTATACCTTAAATAAATTTAAACAATTTAAATTTTAAACCTGTTTATATCTTAACAATTTAAAGCTTCTCTTATACAACTTCTCAAACCTTGTAAACAGATTGGACACCACCTTCCACATTTCCTGTTCCCCAGTGATTTCCATGTGGCACTTGCTTTTTATCACAGCAAATGCTTTGCAGAGATAATATTATCACAAAATGACATGAGATATATAGTTGAACCTGTCATCTTCCTCAAGCTAGTTTCATGTGATGTCTGAAAAATATCACTGTGTTTTTTAACATCAAAATTTAAAGGTAAAGCTTTAAAATTATCCCAAGGGAGGTACCCTGTGAATTCCCTGAGGTACCACTGGGCATTTCAGTGCACAGTCTGGGAACCATGGTCTTTCCCAGTCTCTCTGCTTCTCTTCCTATTCTTCTATAGACTATTTTTAATAGACAAACCAGAGTTATTCATTCACCCCTCTCTGTTAAAACTCTCCAAGGGCTTCCCCATCCTCACAGTGACCTTCAGGTCCTTGTACAATTCCCATCCCAGACACCCACCCCCTAACTCTTCATATCTTTGATCTTCTGTCCTCCTTCACTTTCCCTTGGTCATTTCACTGCGGCCTCACTGGCCTCCTCGCAGACATGCCCCTGTCTTAGGGCCTTTGCTCTTTTCCTTTGCTTTTGCTGGAAAGTTCTTTCCCTAGACAACTGCATAGTATGCTCACTGACCTCCCTCCCCTGTCTTGATTGACATATTCAAATGTTCTTTTCTTAGTGTGTCCTTTCCTGTTCACACTATTCACAATTATACCCCTAGCTCCCCATCTCTTTCTGCTGATTTGTTTTTTGAATGTCCTAAACACATATACACACACAACCATATGTATTAATAATACATATAAGTTTGAGTCCTCTAGGAAACAAAGACTAAGACAGAATTAGAAATGGAGAGGTCTACTTGGGAAAATACCCTTGGGAGAAAAAGGGAAAGGAAGCAGGGAAGCCTGAAGGGGGGATGTTCCTTCAGACCACAATGCTGGTCTGACATCTGTAACAGAAAGAGGAGGAGGGAAGGAGGAGTGAGTAGGAAAAGCCTCAGACTACAGTACAGTATAGCTCTGGGATAGACTCAGCCAGGTCAACCAGGAGCCTGGAGTACAGTCTGCCCATGAGAAGAGTTTTGCATTAGGCATGTGTGACCTCTGGGACCTCTGTTGCACCGAGCAACTGGAGCACCCCAAGGAGTATGGCCTCACGTGAACCCTGCAGTGGAGCCTTACAGAAGGAGAAGCAGATGGAGGCTGTCAGTTAACACACTTTATAGCAGGTTCTCTCTTGAAGGTAGGTCTGAGTCTTCCGTATGTGTGCATATATATATTATATATATATATATATATACACATATATATACGTGTATATATATATATGTTTACATGCAGATATGACATTATACTTAATAATGTATTATTAATTTTATCTTATGTGTGGCCTCATCTAAAATATAAGCTCCATAACGACAGAGATTTTTGACTATTTCATTTTAGAACAATGTCTGGCACATAGTAGGCACTCAAAAATACCTGTTGAATGAATGAGTAAATGAATGAAAGAGTAGAAGTACCTCAAAATCTAATGGTATGATTTTAATATAGGGAAAAAGAGTCTCCAAGCCATCTAACCAGCTAACTCTGACTAATGCACACAATGAGCTAGAAGACTGGGCCTGGATGACTGTGTGTTCTGATCAAGGACACTGAAAACTCAGTAGAGAAAAAAGCACCATTAAACAACACAAGACAGAGGGAAGGCTTTGGTTAAATTTTAGTGGAAATGTTCTACTTTACCATGAAGTGCAATAAATCAACACACCTACGATTTCAGAATCATCTTAGGTCATCATCAGAAAGGAATTCAGTCTTCCTGTAGTATATGCTTGAAGGTAATCATGTATTTCAGGCATGTGACCTGATTGGGTCTGCCTCTTAATTATCTCTTTGGCTTTACATTTAAACTTCTAAGCTTACCTATAGTCTAATTTTATTACGCTCTTCTAGTATCCTTATGACACTGTCCTTCATTATCTTATTCTCTAGGCCCTAGGCTTATGTCACCAAGGTGAGACGCTCACATTGTTGAATGGGCAACTTTGTAGCAGGGACTAATAGAAAGAAAGAGACCTAGGTTGGAAGTTAAAGCAGAACCTATTATCTACGCCCAGTTCTGTTACCAACTGTGGGTTGAAAAGTTACTTTACTCAACAAGCCTCAATTTCCTAATATGAAGACAGGGCCATTCAGCACTTGCTCCTCCTAACCTTTTCTCCCAGAAGAAATGGGTAAAATAAATGACTAACTTAAGGTGCACCTTCCTACTGTGGTAGGTATTTAAAGTGATTTTGATTGATCTTAAACAAAAATAACAGTGCATTTGATTAATCAACATCTTCAGCAATTAAGTGGTGTCCTATTCTAGAAGGTGTAACCAGGAATAACTTCAGCTCTGAAGAGAAGAGGGACATAAATAAATATTTTTGTTCTATCAGTAATGAAGCAGAGAATCCTAGTAAATACCTTTGTGAGGAAATTCAGTTGACTGTTACAAAGTGCTTCAAACATGGCCATTTAGTTGATCAATAATAGAGCAAATAATACCACATACTTGTAATAGGGCTATTGTTGTCATCGCCTGGGGTCCATGACAGCTGAACACTTTTGTCAAGTTGATCTGTCAGTTCTAAGTCAAAGGGAGGATTTGGAACATCTGTAGAGCAAACATACACACATCATGGTCACCCATCCATCTTTAAGAGGTTCTCCTTTACTCATGATACTATTCACAGAGGGGACATCTTAAAGACACATAACAGTTGATAGTCAATGAGCATGCGACTGAAAGGAAATGGGAACAGCTGAGGTTGCTGGGAACACATGAGCACACCCAAGACAACCCATCAATGAGTTCTGCTCACTTGTTTATCAAAGGAAACAAAAACATTTGTAACCAAATCCAGTGAAGCAGACACATGTGGTTCATCAGCATTCTCAGTGTGTCTTTTCATAAACATGAATGGACACAAACATGAAAAATAATAAGCTCAATTTCTAATACATGGGAAACAAAGAATAGCCACTGCTGAAAAACAAATATAGGCAAATCAAAGGTACTATTTAAAGAAAATTCAAATGTTCTTTCTGAAACATGCTGAATAATAGACTTGGGGGCTCTGAAAAAGTATTTATATTTGCAAAAGAATTCTGAAATAGATGCTATGGGGGTAGCCCTTAGCATGCCTAAGTGTGTTTACTCCCAGAGGACAACAGTGTATAGACGGACACATTTTGGGACAAAAGAGTCCTGGAAGCATGTCTGCCTCTTCTAATAGTGTCGTTCCCCCCAGACCTTTGACCTTGCTCTTAGGAGTAACTCTGGCACTCAGGGGACCAGAGACAACATAAATATATGCACCTTTTTTCTTATCAGTGATAAAGCAGTAAAAGTCTACAAAGCACAGGTTATATTGGATAACTAAATACAATATTATTGTGCAAAATCAGCTGAGATTATGTCAAGAAATTGGTTTTTGTACCGATATGCTGAATAAAGATGAAGTTTCTCTAAATAAAAAGATTTCTAGAAATGATTTCTGACCTATTTTCCAGATTCTAAAAAGCCACACAACATGAATGTGCCCCTCCGTTTGGTCTTTCTTAAGTGATTTGTCTTTTGTCAACACATGGTGAGTCAGTGTTCTCTGATATAAAAGCTAAATGTTGTTCTAAACATCCATTTTTCTCCTATATACTTTCTTGAAAATGGAATCCCAAAACAACATTTATTTTTCCAAAACAATTTTTAACAAATTAAGGTGAAAATCTAATTGGTAGAATGATATTAGAAATAGCCTTTTCATTCTGTAAAATGTGGATGATGGCTTTTAAAAAAGCACTATGCTACTTGACAAGGAAATTGCATCAAAGAGGGAGTTTCATCAAACAAAGTGATTTTATGATAGCACATGAACTATTTGAAACAACTGGCCATGAACTTGGTGAAAAATCTAGGGTTATGATGAAGAAATGATTAATTGTCAGTAAATGGGTGACATCACATAACAACTGACAGAGCCCCTTTCCTTAAGAGACACAATTATGTGACATAGGAAAGAAAGTTATCAATATTTTCTGCAGATGTGAAATTGTTTGACAGAAAACAGAGAAAGAAGACTCATATTAGTTTACCGTAAACGGGAACTGGAGTTGGAGTAGGAGCTAGAAAGGACATTAATATAAAGGATTTTAATCAAAATTAGTAATGGAAAGATACAAGATAGCACAAGATGACAAAGACTACATTATTCAAAATTATAAAACTAAGCCCTATGCTTAGCTGTGAGACACAGCATTGTTAAACATGCAGTAACAATTGAGAAAAAAAACTTCAATTTTAGATACAAGTAGAATATTTCTCTTAATTTTATTACAAAAACGTTAGTAATGTGCATATCTACCATTTCATCCAGTGCTGCTATATAGTATATTTATACTTAAATTATTGCCTTCAAGGCATGTTTCAAAGAAGAAAAACATGGGTATGAACTCACCCAGGCATATTAACAAGCAAACATTTTATATTTACAATTTTTATCTTATTTTTCCTTTTCAACCAAATGCAGTGAAGCTGGTTGTGCTATTTTTGTTCTCTTTCTTACCAACAACGCTAAGCACAGCACTGGCGGAGACGCTGTCCAGAGTGGTGTTGGCCACACACGTGTAGGTCCCACTGTCATCATCACTGACATCAGCTACCACCAGATGATCCTTGTCCACAGTGAACCTGTGGACAGAATATATTCAGAGTAGTAAAAATGGACATTCAGCCACACCCTATAATTGCTTCACTGTCGGGAAAGAAACTGTACATTTGATAAAAGAGAAAGATGGTACAAATTTTCAAAATTAGAGCAAAACACTTATCACTTTAAGAATGATTAAAGTTGGAAAGCAGTGAGAATGAACTAGAATCTTGGGTTAGAAGGGATAACTCTTCTGGTATAGTATTTTCAACCAGCCCTCCAGAGCACGGGTCCCCACACCCTGGGCCACGGACTGGTACTGTCCTGTTAGGAACTGGGCTGCAGAGGGGACGGCTGCTCTAGAGGGTATTGTAGGTGTTTTCCTTAAGTCCCCAGGGGAATGGGCGAGTGAAGCTGAGCTCCGCCTCCCCTCACAGAAGCAGCAGCATTGGATTCTCACAGGAAGGTGAACCCTATTGTGAACTGTGCAGGTGAGGGATTGAGATTGTGCACTCCTTATGATCATCTAATGCCTGAGGATGTGTCACTGTATATATTACATGTAATAATACATACATGTATATACATATTACAAAGTCATAATAATAGAAATAAAGTACACAATAAATGTAATGCACTTGAATCATTCTGAAACCATTGTGCCCCCACCCCATCTGTGGAAAAATTGTCTTCCATGAAACCAGTCCCTGGTACCAAAAAGGCTGGGGACTGCTGCTCTAGAGGGAGTGGTAGAAACTTCTTTAAGTTCCTAGGGGAATGAAGTAAAGGCTAGTTCCAGCATTATCCTTACTAAAGGGCTTTACTAAGGCTTTTGCTGCCATGAAACACTGGAAAACCACTCCTTCAGTTCAATTTCTATCAAAGTATATATTTTAAATACTTTATTATTTACTGCAGAAATTTCATGTCATTTTCTTACATGTATAAACTCTTACAGGAGAAATTAAATGCAAAGAATAATAATTTGCTTTATCATTAGAAACAGGAAGATTTAGATGAACAATCTCTACTGAGAGTTTTCTAGAGGTTATTTGTGAGCATGAAAAATTGCTCAGTAGATCAAAAAATTAATGTATAGAGGATTAATGCATTATTTTAATGAAGCTGCATAAATCATAAACTGTCTTCTCAGTTAATTTCCAAGTAAAAGTTTCAGCCAACTTAACCTGGTGGTCATTTCTTTACGTTTCTTTTTCATCCTTTTTTTTCCTTTTTTGTAAAGACAGGGTCTCACTTTGTTACCCAGGCTGGAGCGCAGTGGTACAGTCACAGCTCACTGCAATCTCAGCCTTCTGGGCTCAGGTAATTCTCCCATTTCAGCCTCCCAGGTAGCTGGGACCACAGGTATGAGACCACCACACCCGGTTATCCTTTTCGTCTTTATCAACTCAACAAATAAAATTGACTAGTTCAAGCATAAAACTAGATGGAGACTCTAGGCACATAAAAGAGAAGGCCATAGAATTCTTCTGGGGCCAGTAACAAGCAACAGGGCAAGCTTTAGGCACCACAACTTTAGGTCAGCTGCAGGTGAACCACAGAAATGATTTCGACCAGAATACAGCATTCCTTCTAAGACAGCGAGGCCTATAGCCACTTTGCTAAAATTCACACATTCCAGTCTATACTGCTACATCAAATCGAGGGTCTCATCTCAAAAATCCCATGACCTATATTCCATTCTTAACTAAATCTGCAGCATGCTTGGGCTCTTTAAAGCTTTACCTGTTTTTGTTTTTCCTTCCCCTTCCACTGGCTTCAGGTAAAATCAAAAGAAAATCTCCTTATCCAAATAAAAATGAGTGTCTTTTAAAACACTGACAAGGATTTGAGCAGTCTTTGGTGATTAAAGAGGTCGTATTTCTGCTTATTTGTAGAATGGTAATGAAAACATCTGTTGAGATTTCGCTATTCAAGGTATAAAGCAATGGATGTTGTCCAAGGCCTGAGGGTTTTTTCCCATCCCGAATTACACAAGAGACTAGCATGCAAAGATAGACAAACATTCTTGGGGTCCTATTTCAATTATCTGGTACCTTCTTAGGTACATATATTTTACAGTAGGGAGAAAATACCTCTCTCTGTTTTGGAGACAGCAGACTTCAGAAACTAAAACTTCACCATAACTGACTACATAATAGACCTTTAGTTCAAGAATAGCTTAAAGAAAGAATGAAGAGAAAGTAAAGAAATCATCTTCAAATACCTTTCATCACTGGGCAGTTCCTCATTGTCCTTCAGCCACAGGACAGTGAGGACTAAGGTGTGATCATGTTTCACTTTGCATTCAAATGACACCATGCCCCCTCTTTGCACAACTGCATATTCGGGCTGTTTAATGATCCATGTAGGATCTGAAATGTAAAGTTATCGTTATCCATTTGGCAAAGCTGGAAAATCTGTTCAAAGTCATTTGAAACTTAAAAAACACATAACCTCTGCCTTACCTTTGATTTCTAAGTGGACGTCATTCTTTGCCATCCCTAATTTATTCCTTGCAACACATGTGTAAGTTCCCGTACTGTCCTTTTGGGCCACAGGAATTTCCAAAGTTCCATTTTCATGTAAAACATAAATATCTTCATGAAGAGCACTTCCTTTAGCTCCTTTAAACCTTTCATTACAGAAATTATCAGGATGAGAATAAAAACACATCATATTTTGAAGTCAGACATAAAATATCATGTTCAAGGTCAACACAACCATGATGTACGTTAAAGTTGCAAGGCTATAAGGATTGTACTTTTGAAAGTAAAAATAGAAAAATATTCAGGGGAGGAAAAAAAGGTATGTATGTCAGATAGGAGAAGTGAAACGGATGAAGCAAACTAAGTGTGAATCTACTACCTTCACTAGGAAAATCATCTGCATAAGCATCCATTTTTCTTTTCTGGGGTGAAGGTGGGGGCCTGGGGAGATATTTCTTTAATCTTAACCCTGCCTTTATTCTGACCTCAGTAGTTGGAGCTTAGCACAGCATCTGGGACCTGACAGATGATCAGTAAAGAATGTTCCAGTTTTTGTTCATTCATTCTTTCTAAGTCATTGCCTATCCATCCTCTGCCTTGTCTCTTTCAGCTAAAGTAAACAAGCTAGGAGGAGCTAGAGGACTTAAACCTCCGGTGGCATATAAAAGGGGATGATCTTAAGTGGGGAGTAAAAGAACATGGGAGATCTTGGCTGGATCCAAGTCAGGAAGATCCGGTGCAAGCAGTACTAAAAAGAAACAATGATAATAAATTCTGCTTTGGAGCTTACAGAACCCTCCACTACCCCACATGATATTTTATTTTCAAGGAATATCCCCTAACTAATCCCTCCTGCCACTACTCACAAAGTCCCAGGGGATATCCATGACACTGTAAAATACAGCAGCCTTAAATTAAAAAAAATCATTTACATGTAGAGCTGTGCTTAACAGAGTGTGCTGCTAAACAGATTGTACACGTGAAACTATTTAACACAGAGCCAGTAGTTAATATATATTTGAATGAATTTAATAATTAACAGTGAATGAATGAATTTAATAATTAATAGTGTAGGCCAGGCACTGTGGCTCACACCTATAATCTTAGCACTTTGGGAGGCCAAGGTGGGTGGATCACCTGAGGTTACAAGTTGGAGATCAGCCTAGCCAACACAGTGAAACCACGTCTCTACAAAAAATACAAAAATTAGCTGGGCATGGTGGCGGATGCCTGTAATCCCAGCTACTCTAGAGGCTGAGTCAGGAGAATCACTTGAACCCAGGAGGAAGAGGGTGCAGTGAGCTGTGATTGCGCCACTGCACTCCAGCCTGGGTAATGAAGTGAGACTGTCTCAAGAAAAAAAAAGAATTAACAGTGTAATGAATTGTGCACTGCTTTTCCATGCTTAGATTTTTTTTTTAAATAAAATCAAACATATTTAGAATATAAAGGCTTTAGCAGACACCTTAAGTATTGAAAAACACACAGAGCTGCTACTTACCACTCAATGGTTGGGAGAGGAGACCCAAAGAAGGCACAGTCTAGTAAAGCAGGCCTGTTTGCAATGACCTGGTAGAGTGTGTTTGCAGGTGTGAGGATTCGTGGTGGCTCAGCTGTAAATATTTTTAAAAGGTAAAGAACTATTACAATACATTTTAGGACTACAGTGTATTTATTGTATTTTGTTTCAAAGTCATTAAAGTTTATGGTAAAGCACAACCAATCTCTCTCCTTATGTTTCGTATCAGGCGTAATACTGCCAGTCACTCAAGGCAGAAAAATACATTTTTTCTCTTTCTACCTCCTGTGCCACTTCTTGCTCAGGCATTATTTTAGTTGTTGATTTACTGTGAGTCCACTGCAGTCTTGGAATGAGACTTTTAATTATTTTATCCCCAGCACAGTGTCTGGCACAAAAATAACAGTCAAGTATATACTTTTTGAATGACTGACTCATCATAACCCTAGTGGGTGGGAACAGTGGGGGAACACATAAGCTGGCAGAGAAAACCAGAGTGGTGAGCATGATGACTAAAAAAATGGAACTACTGCAACAGAAACAAAAATAGACAAATGGGATTATGCCAAACTAAAAAGCTTGCATAGTCAGAGAGACAGTCAACAGAGTGAAGAGACAGCCTCTATAGAAGGGGAGAAAACATTTGCAAACCATCTATCTGGTAAGGGGTTAATACCAAAATATATAAATAACTCATAGAATTCAATATTGAGAAAATGAATAATCTGATAAAAAATGGGCAAAGGACTGGACTAGACATTTATCAAAAGAAGATATACAAACGGCCAACAGGCATTATGAGAAAATGCCCAGCATCACCAATCGTCAGATAAATGTAAATTAAAACCACAATGAGATATTATGTCATACCTATTAGAATGGCTACTATCAAAAAGAGGAGATCTAAGTGTTGGCAAGCATGTGGAGAAAAGGGAACATTTAAGACTGTGGGAGGAAATATAAGTTAGTATAGCCACTGTGGAAAATATTGTAAAGATTGTGTATACTGTTTATACTGAAAACATTAAAAATGAAACTACCATATGATCCAACAATCCCATTACTGGGTATATATCAAAAGGAAATAAAATTAGTATGTCAAGATATTTGAACCCCTTCATTCATTGCAGTATTATTCACAATAGTCAAGATGTGGAATCAACCTAAGTGCCATCAATGAATGAATGGAATAAAGAAACTGTGATATATACACACAATGGAATACTATCAGCCTTAAAAAAGAAGAAAATTCTGTCATTTCCTTCATGTCATTCATGTCTTGACAACATGGATGAACCTGTAGGACATTATGTTAAATGAAACAGGCCAGATACAGAAAGACAAACATGGCATGATCTCCCTTATATGTAAAATCTAAAAACGTTGTTGAACTCATAAAAGTAGAGATGAAAAAGGAACCAGCAGCCAAAAGTGCTTTCTCAACATCCAACAATATCTTCACTGCTTAGCTCTTCAATAGGATTAGTGACCTTCATGCCAAGCATGAAAGAAAAATACCAAGTACTGGTTGGCTTTCTGATGGTAATTTTGTTTTGAAAGGAAGTATATTAATTTCAAAGGGTTGAAGTATAACTTCCTGGCACCATGAAAACAATTCTCACAAAAATTTTAACAAATGTGGTATTTTGGTAGTGTTGTTCAATATAGGAAATATAACATTCACATAAACCAATTATTTGAGAATATGTTTCAGTATATCAGACTTTTTAAAATATATTTTTACAAATAAATGTACATCTGTGACTTGGATGAAGGCCAAGTTTTATGATTAATGGCTTAGTTTTTAAAAATCAGAATCATTAAATTGTTATTTAACTTGTCAGTTTCTTGCGATGGAAGGGCAATAATATTCAGTTACTAATAGCAGACAAATGCTATTTTCCTTTTGAGGGTTTGATACTTAGAAAACCATCTGTAAGTGGAACAGCCTATTTAACTAGTTCTAGAATGAAGAATTTGCCAATATAAAAACTGCGTTATTAAAGGACATTAAAACTGCAATATTCTCTAGGGAAAGGTTTATCTGATCCATCTCTTATAATTCCAACTACTGTACAATGCTCAATGTATTTTTGCTGACCGAGCAGAAAATACCAACAGTCATTAATTTAATTTGCCATGTCTTTAATAAAAGGAGAGCTTACCCAGCACATTTACAAATGCGTTTGCCAGTAAATATCCATATTCGTTAGAGGCATTGCACTGATATACTGCACTTGATCTTTCTTGAACATTTGAAAAAATAATGGTATCGCCATCAATTTTTCTGCTGGGGTCATCGGGGGCAACTGTTTGGATGTAAAAATAGAAAGTATTTATTCCCATTTGCTTAAAAGATGTATATTAAGCTTTTAAAGTCAGTAGGACATAAATAAAGGCAGATCTAAGTATATGCAGTAAGAATAAGACCAGAATTTAGGCAGAAACCATAAAGTTTTTCTTCTCAGAATTTAATATATTGGCAAGGGTATGTGCTCAATATTCTGTAACAGTAACCACTATTTTGAGAGGTGCAGAAAAAAACTCCCATAAGTTTAGGTGAAAATTGCATTACAAATTCAGGAAAACATTCCTTGTTCAAGAGATTTGGGTTATTTATGAGAAAAAATAGTTAATGATCAAGAGGAAATAGCAAAAGCTAGTAAAAAATAAAGAAACACTCTAGCTGGTTCAAATCTGTTTCTTTTTGAAGCCTCTTCTTGACATAAATAAATCGACAAATACATAAACACATAAATATGGGGCTAATAATCAAATGTGAAAATATTTATTTTTCTGCTTTGGATATTCTTGAAGCTGAAGTAGAAATAAATTGTGTACATTCTTCTTGAAGACAATGTTTTCAGCTAAATCTCTCAAGTACTTAAATGTTAGGACCAGGATTTGATCCTTACTGAAGTGGAATAGAACTGGCTGGGTAATATAATATGTGAGGATTTAGTCCCAGGTATGCCCAGCAATTTGGAATTTCTGTGAGGTTAGAGGTGAATTCCTTTCTGTGAATGATACACTTCAAGCTCTGAGCTTACGTTGCTTTAGAAATACACTAAGAGGGATTTAGGTCTCTGTCTCAACACGATGATCAGAATCAAAACTAAATAACAGCACCTTTTCTCTTAAACTGCTCCTGCAACTTGAACCAATTAAGAAGTCTTTATGCTCTTTCTAAACACTATTTATTTTTCTTTGATGACAGGAAAAACATATGCATCTAAGACATACTTATCACTGCACTTAGACTTATCACTTTTAAAATAAAATAAATTTGTTTCGTCTGTGGTTTATTAACCCATTGTAACAAAAATCAACCAAACGACAGCACATCCTTGTTTTACGACATATACTCAAGGTATTTTGCGCTCTCATTCTGCAATAGTTTTCCACGGTTGCTGTAACAAATTACCACAAATGCAGTGGCTTAAAATAACACAAATTTACTACCGTAGAGTTCTGTAGGTTAGAAGTCTGATATGAGTCGCACTGAGCTGAAACCAATGCATGCGCAGGGCTGTGTCGCTTTCTGAAGGTTCTAGGGGAGAAACCATGTCCTCGCCTTTTCCAGTGTCTGAAGGCTGCCCACATTCCATGGCCTATAGTCCTCTTCCTCCATTTTCAAAGCCGTCGATGTTGCATCTCTCTGATCGTTCTTCCATAGTCACTTTTCTTTCCAACCAGAGCCAGAAAAAGAACTCTGCTTTTGGGGGCTCATGTAATTAAATTGGGCCCAAATTAGACAGTCTAGGATAACCTCCCCACTTTAATCACACGTGCAAACTCCCTTTTGCCACATAAGGAGACATATTCATGGGTTCCAGGGATTGGGATGTAGACATCGTGGTGGGGGATTATTCTGTCTACCACATACTGAATCACATTTATAGTCTAAAAGTATTTTAGATGTTTTAGACTAGAATATTTTAAAAATTCACCATACATTTAAGTTCAGAACAAGTTTTTAGCATCCAAGGATTATTAAAACTCCTCATGGACTGATTAATGTCTTCATTTCCAAGTAGGAATGCAAAAAAAAAGCAGGTGTTCCACACTCCGCTCACCATCAGAACTCATTTATGAAATCATCTTAGATACTCCAGGTTGTTCAACCAGTGATGTGGGTGTGCTGAGATACTTTGAATTGGCTTCTTAGCTTACATCTCCTGTTATGACTCTAAATAATTTCAAAATTGCCTTATGGAACATTCTTCCAAACTGAAGACAAATATAAGTCATAATTCCTCCAACAGGGTATACAGATTCATTGATAAAAGACAGCAGAGGATGGATATGTCACACTGGCCTAGAAAGTGAACTGCAGCTGTGGCAGGCAGTCATGAACCCTGAAAACGCAGTGCACCTTAGGGCAGCCCTTGGGTCCCAGATCCCAAGTCTTGTATCACTGAGGCATTTCTGACTCACACAATCTGTGATGCGCACCCACTGCCTCAACAAGTGGTCTGGAACACAAAGCAGCATTTCTGGAGACTTGTTCTCTGTCAGTGATTCTTAGAACTTCTGGTCATTATACAAAAAAGATACTTGCACGTGCATGTTTATAGCAGCACAATTTGCAACTGCAAAAATATGGAACCAGCCCAAATGCCCATCAATCAATGAGTGGATAAAGAATTTGCGATATATATATATATATATATATATATATATATATATATTTTCATTATATATATATATATATATATATATATATATATATATATATATAATGAAATACTACTCAGCCATACAAAGGAATGAAATAATGGCATTCACAGCAACCTAGATGGAATTGAAGATCAGTATTCTAAGTGATATAACTCAGGAATGGAAAAACAAATATTATATGTTCTCACTCATAAGTGGGAGCTGAGCTATGAGGATGCAAAGGAGTAAGAATGAGATACTGAACTCTGGGGACTCAAAGAAAAGTGTGGGGGGAAGCAAGGGACAAAAGACTATACATTGGGTACAGCATATACACTGCTTGGGTGATGGGTGCACCAAAATCTCAGAACTTATTCATGTAACCAAATGCCACCTGTTCCCCAAAAATCTATGGAAATAAAAAACAATACAAAAATAAAGTGGAGAAACAAACTGAATTTTTAAGGTCACTGAAAAAAAAAAAAGATTCTTAGCACTTCTGGACCCAGCACTTGGGCTCTCAGTGCTGGGACTCTTCAGGACACTCTCAGTGCCTACCACGTGCCCACCCTGACCGCATCTCTGGATATTCCAGGCAGTGGAGCGGAGTGGCTGTGTACTTTAGACTGTGATGAGGCCCAGGCAGAGCTCTGGGCCGAATCTCTCTGGATAGGTGGCAGACTATATTAAGAAGTGTTCTTCAAATTCCTTAGGTATATTGAGATTTTAAAAGTTACATCAACACGTGACGTTTAATGAATAAAGGGTTCTAGTTCCGAAGATCTGTTGCCCAAGAATTAGAATATATTTAACACTACTGAACTGTGAACTTAAAACGGTTAGGATGGTAAATTTTATGTTATGTGTTTTTACCACAGTAATAATAATAATGTTACACGATCATGAACATGGAAGACAAAGCTCAACAATGTTCGCAGGACAATTTTCCCCAAGTGGAGACTCATCAGTCACAAACAAATCATGTCAGAAAGCTTTTCTGTAGCTCTCAGTTGCAGTTTTCTTTGCTAGCAACTCTTTGGGAAGATATTTTTTACCTGAAAGGCATCTGACTGTATTTGCCTTATATATGTTAAATAGAGCAGTCTTTAAATATTAATTTTTGGCAAGGTATTTAGGAACAAAATAAACCCTTTAGGTAAGAATAATGAGTAAGCAGACATCTCTCCATGGGAGTTTGGGCTACATTTTCCTCAAGTACTTGTTTAAAAAATGCAAACAACCCCAGGAACTCACAGTGACACATGGAGGCTTGGTTGGTAGCTGGACACAGTGTAAAATCGCTAATGTAGAGACATTTGAAGCCTTTGGATGGTCTGGCTAGTGGGTAGAGTAACTCTCTAGCAGGCAAATCCAAATTATCCAGAGGACTAATCATTAATTCTGGGAATAACCAACTTCATTTGCTGTCAATGAACACTGGAGAAAGGAATTTAAAAGCACAGAATCACCACAAATAACTTAAAGCCCCAAAGGTAAGGTCCAGAACTGGGGTGACGGCCTTCAGAAAATACTTTCTTTTAAACCAGCTATCCTGACGTTGGTGGGTAAAACTATAAATGCTTCCTACATTTAGATAATGAAAATAATAATAATCATGCCACCTTACATGAACAGAGTACGATCAATCTTTAAAATTTGTTATATTTACTGCATAATTTTATTATAAAAAGAACTTTGTGAAACAGAATAATCAGATAGTATTTTATGCATTTTGGAGAAGAGAAATTGCAAATGGGAGCACGCACTGGTTTGTTCAAATGAGGTTACTGCTCAGGTTTTCTCAGGAGACTTTGTAAACATTTCCTGGAATGTGAACATTTGGGCATAATGTAGAACAAATTTCCAGGTGAAGAGTTAAATTTTCCTTTTCATTTTCTTATTCCACTCCTACAAGGGGATGCCACTGAGCCCCTTAGTTTTGTGAAAAGGAAGAAGGGAGGATGCCTTGATGAAAATCCCAGGAATATCCTCGGCTAGTCCTCCATTCTCCTGCTGCTTATCTTATGTTGCTGGCTTTCAACATCTTTCATTGTAAGCAAAACATGTCTTTGTGCCAGGAGAAGGTCTTCTGTTCACTCTCATTCTCTTAGTTCTTTTCCCACCTCATCCCTGAGAGGACAGGGGCCTTTTAATACAATAACAGTGTGTGATCTTATACATGTTTCATGCAGAAGAGTCTGAGAGACCCAATACAACACACGTTGGAAACTGAAGGATCTGCAAATGTTAGACTCTCCCACAGAGACAGGAATCACAGTGGCCATGGCCTTGGCATCACCACCTGGATGGCACCAGTTCTCCAATGGGGAAGACCAAGAGGAGGAAAAAGGAACTCAAAGACACCCACCCAAGGGTGACTGTGAAGTCCTGAAAGGCAACCTCTTGGGGGACAGCAGGGAAATGCTTGGCCCCATTCTGCCAATAGCAACTACATTTTCTTTCTGCTCCTGGGTTCTATTTTCATATCCTCCCATCACACAATAAAATCAAAGCTCTCTTTCTGTACCAGTTCTCTCCAGCTGTGTTCTTTTTCCTGACTTCTGTAGATTGTTTTAAAACTATTTTAGGTGGTTCTGGGAAAATTCCACATTTATTTAATACAGCCTGTGATTTGTGCTTCAAGAAAGCTTTAAGTAATCTGGCCAGTCCTGGGGAGTGGGGAAGGGCAAAGCTTTAGAAGACACTGAGATAAAAGCCTAGACACTTTTGGAGTTAATTTTTCCAGTCTTTTAAAACAGTAGCTTTCAGGTCTGAAATGCACAGTCCCAGATCAATAACATCACATTTTGCTAACAGAACCCATCTTACCACTCCCCTCCCTAAACCGGCTTCTCCCTTTGCAGTATTTGTGGGCACTTGGCAGCCAGAGCCTGCAGAGGCGGGAAGAGGCAGCCAGTGTCCTTAGGTGCTCGCCCACAAGTCAGGAGTGGGGTGGCTGTGTATCTGGCAGTATGGTCCCCTGACTGTGTCTCGGTTGTGTGGCACAGGAGACAAACTTCAGGCACTGGAGAGGACACTGCACAGCCGCTGCAGGACAGAACTTCAGAGGCACAGCTGTTTCTTGCCCCTAATCCTCAGCAGCTGGTCCACCTGCAATATCTATAGTCCCTTAAGTAGCAAGTATGGTCAGCAAGCCAGCTCTTGCTCCCAGCTAACTTCTGGGGTCTATGCTATGATGAAGGCGAGGAGGATTCACTGTGCTAATTCAGCACCATCACACACTGTAGCAGACTGTGCCCTCAGTTCCTACCCTCGCCCCTCGGCATCTCCCTGCCATCCTTTCCCTGTGTCCCAGTGCTGCTAGATGTCTCTGTGGGGTGGACAAGTTCAGAAAACTGCAGATGGGAAACAAGCATTGGTGCCCCCTTTCCAGGACAGTCCCCAACCCACAAAGGCAATTCCCTTTAGGGCCTCTAAATTCACAGAGCAAGTACCAAGCAGGGGATGAAAGGGATGGCAGCACAAGGCTCCTTAAACATCTATCAATTTTTTTGGATAGTTTCTGCACCCCCCTCATTTTCTCATTATTTTGGATCAGGGAAGATCAACACACAGTGGGAGCATGCAGGGTTTACTTTGTACTTAGTTGCTTAAGACTTAGCATCCACCCAAGAAGCCACTTAGCAGAAGCTGCAGATGGGTCAGCTGCAGAAGGGCGAGGCAGGTAACAGCTGTACCTTTGCAGTGTCATAGAGCAGAAAGCTGGGCAGGGGCCCTGCTGGCTCACTGCCTTTTAGTTATGAGATATCCAAATGGTAATCCACTTTCAGCTTGGCCACGAGATGTCGAGAAAGACCCCTTCCAGGGAAGCTTCTCATCCCCTTGGTATAAACATGCAGCACCTGCTCCTGGCACCAGGGAGCAGCCTGGTGGTGCCAGGCTCCTTGCTTTGCTGCCACACCATGTGGTATTCCTCTCCCTGCATGTCCTCCACAGTGACAGCTCTGAGGCACACAAGAGGTTGAGCGACACTGTATATAAGGAGCTCTGGAATTCCAGCCACGCTGGCTCAGCCTCCTTTTTTCCATCTCATGGGGCTTAAAGAAGACTTTTGGGATGGAAGAAATGAGCTGATCTGATATGAGATACTTAGTCCTAACTCGTTCTTCTCTACCTAATCAGACAATTTAAGGTTGCAAGATGACCTAACATCTTCCCGGTATTACTGCTCTCTACCCCCAAAGCAGGCCTTTTGCAGCTGATCCTCCCTCCCCACAAAAATGTGACTTAAAAGGGGAGTATTATCATATTATGAGTGTATTTTCTTTCTCCTTCCTTCCTTCCTTCCTTCCTTCCTTCCTTCCTTCCTTCCTTCCTTCCTTCCTTCCTTCCTTCCTTCCTTCCTTCCTCCCTCCCTCCCTCCCTCCCTTTCCTCTTCCTTCTTCTTCTCTCTCTCTTCTTTTCCTTTCCCTCCCTCCCTCTTGCTCTCTCTTTCCTTCTTTCTCTCTTGCTCTGTCGCCCAGGCTGGAGTGCAGTGGCATGATCTTGGCTTACCACAGCCTTTACCTTCCGGGTTCAAGTGATTCTCCTGCCTCAGCCTCCTAAGTAGGTGGGGTTACAGGTGCATGCCACCACACCCTGCTAATTTTTGTATTTTTAGTAGAGATGGGGTTTCACTATGTTGGTCAGGCTGGTCTCAAACTCCTGACATCATGATCTGCCTGCCTCGGTCTCCCAAAGTGCTGGGATTACAGATGTGAGCCAGCGCACCTGGCTATGAGCATATTTTCAAGGCCCTTACGATGACTGGACTTGCAAGGTTCCCTCAGAGGCACTGCATACTCTGGTACTATGGTCCGAATATTTGTGTCCCTCCAAAATTCATGTTGAAACTTCACTCCAAGCTTAAGAGGTGGGGTCTTTGGGAGGTGATTAGGAAATGAGAGTTTCCCCCTCCTGAATGGGACTGGTGCTGTTCTAAAGGTCCTGAGGGAGCCCGTATGCCCCCCTCCACCACGTGAGGACACACAGCAGCATCTGTGAGGAAAAGCCCCTCACCAGACACCAAATCTGCTAGTGCTCTGTTCTTGGACTTTCCAGTCTCCAGAACTGTAAGCAATAAATTTCTCTTGTTTGTAAATTACCCAGTCTAAGGCATTTTGTTATAGCAGCAGGAATGGACTAAGACAGCTGGTTTAGAAGGACAACAAGCTGAGAAACCAAGACAAAAAATCAGCCTCATTAATGAATCCCCCCTTATGTCATCCACCCACATCTCAATTTTCCTTGCATAGGATTGCACTCTGGCTACCAAGCTTCATCCCCTGGCTCCCCCATTTTCCCTGCTGAAGGGCTAGATGGATGGTCCCTTCCATTTGTCAGTTTCACTGAATCTAGATCTCAGGGGCACTTTTAACTTTCCATAAATGGACACAAAAACTCTGAGCTGCAAAACATAATGTAAAAGTATTGAGCGTGTATCATCATGTATTGCCATTGTGTATGCATTCCTGAGAAAATCATACATTGTACCAGCTAATTTTTTATGTTTTGTGGAAACAGGATTTTGCCATGTTGCCCAGGCTGGTCTCTAACTCCTGTACTCAAGCAATCCACCGGCCTTAGCTGCTGAAAATGCTGGGATTACAGGTGTGAGCCACTGCACCTGGCCACCATAAAACTTCTTTAGTTCTTGGCTTTCTTCTACTTTTTCCTCTCAGGTTTTACTCACACTCCCCCGAGAGTAGCAAGAGCTTCCTAAAACACAACCACAAAGCATTTTCTGCCACTTCTCCTGATCCTGATTCTGGTTAAAATTAGAAGTGGAAATATCCAAACCCCAATTTGCTGGCCTCTAGCATCTGTTTTCTCCCAGGAATACACTTCCTTTTACAGTGAACACAGGCTGCCTGTTTCAAAGTATCTGACAGCTACTGTGCTATGAGACACAAGTGAACTTCCAATAAACACTCTTCCAATAAAAACATCGGGCAGGCTGCAATGACTCAGTCACCCTGCAGTTGTCAGACCTTGATGGTGAGAAACAGGAACTTTTGCCACTTTAAATCTACCAGCAGTTTTTTGGAACGTCTTAGGGGAAGTGTGTGTGTTACTGTAGGAAAGTCAATTCAGCAGACCTTTTGCTTATGTAAATGTAGAACCAATATTGGATCTGACTTGGAGGCAGTCAAAGCCAATCTGCCCTGTATCATAAGCTTGAGGGCTGTCTTCTTTGTGAGTAAAGAATAGCTTTGCAGGTAATCATGTTATTGACTGCGAGGGTGAACCTAAGGCTGGGTTTAACTTTCTCTGTCCCAGTGTCTAAGAGGAGGTCTGAACTCCAAGAAGGAGAAAATGTTAGAAGATGTTCTTCTTGGCAGTAGCTGGCAGTGGGTGGGGTGGAAGAAGAGGTGAGTCCAGTGGGATCACTCTGTTCATGGCCATGGCTTAGGAATTCAGAAGCAGTGAAGTGCAATATCCATTTAAAGTTTTTTCTTTGTTATAATTCCCTCGACTCTCCCTAAGCCGTTAGCCAGGTTTTGTAAAGCTAGCCTTTGCTATGATTTAGTAGATTAATGGGACGGCCTGAAGCCACATGTTGGGCAGCATAGTGGCAGCTTGGAGAAACTGGCTAAGAGAAAGGAGTAGAGTAGCAGAGCACGGAGGCTGCTGAATGGGGTGACAGGTACAACCAGGCTGCCCAGGTGCTGCTCAAGGATGATACCAGCAGCTCTAAGGGAGGGAACACTACTCAGAGGTAAAGCATCCTGGATCTGATCAGGGTCAGAGGATGTGTTCTTCTTTGGGTATCAAATGGGACAGTTACCTTGGGAGACTGAAAACTCTTTAAATTAAAGACAGCTAGGTTTCCTATGCCTGACGTATAGACTGGCTCTATACCGAGTCTCCCCACCTATTTCCTCCAGCGCCTATGACATTTCCACAAATCACCTGATGTTTTGCACAAAGATCATCTAAACTTTTCAGTGTTATTTATTTCTAACCCTGTTTTTCTTCACAATATCCATGTAAAAAACAGAGAAAATATTGCCAAGTCCTAGTTATCAGATACCATTATGTTAACAACATAAACTACTCACATTCATAATGAATATCTAATGGTAATGAAACTCTAAAGGTAATTTGGTGCCTCTGTTTAACGCACATGTGGCTTCCTTCCTTAATCTGAATTATTTTTTATCACGGTTTGTTCACTGTTGGGATGTATATATGCTCGGTAAATATACTGCAACCGGAACCAATCAACGCAACTTACTTTCTATTGGGACTCCATTTGTTAACCAGCTAATTCTGGGTTTGGGGTTGCCATTAGCTCTGCAGATCAAGGTCCCATCCTCTCCTGGGGACAGCACAAGATTTTGAGGGGCCATGATCCAGTATGGAGCCGCTTTATAGGAGGAAGTAAAAAGACCAAAAATCTGAATTAAATAAACATTTTAGCAAAAGAACATATTGACTATTCTAATAATACAAGAAAGTACTTCACACCAAACTGGTTAGTCTCAGTTTTTGTTTTTTTTTTTGAGTGAATAGATTTATAAATGATGCTTCAAAGAACACTTAAGATTTTCAAAAGAATGTTTAAAGAGACTCACTGACATATATGTATTATTTCTAGACCTGTTTGATACAAATATCATTTTTCACTTTGCATTAAAATTAATCAGACATCAAAGAGGTGACAGATTTATCTAAGCATACAGAGCAAATTACAGGTGCAGGTAGGGCTAAGAAACAAATTTAAATTCAGAGCTAGGCACGGTGACTCATGCCTGTAATCTCGGCACTTTGGGAGGCCAAGGTGGCTGGATCACTTGAGGTCAGGAGTTCAAAACCAGCCTGGCCAACATGGTGAAACCCTGTCTCTATTAAAAATACAAAAATGTTAGCCAGGTTTGGTGGCAGGCACCTGTAATCCCAGCTACTTGGGAGGCTGAGGCAGGAGAACTGCTTGAACCCAGGAGGCGGAGGTTGCATGAGCCAAGATGGTGCTGCTGCACTCCAGCCTGGGCAACAGAGTAAAACTCCATCTTAAAAATAAGTAAATTAAATTAAATAAATTCTGAGTCCTGTTGGATATATATATAATTACATAATTAGGAAGCAATGTAAAAACATCATTTTTGAAAAGTTGCAAAGGTATTATAGCGTTTGCATACATCCTTCACATAGCTTCCTCTCACGTTAACATCTTACATCACCATGGTCCAGTTACCTAATGAAAAGTTAACACTGGTATTTAAGTAAACTATACATTCTGTTAGGATTTCCCAGTTTTTGCATTAATGTCTTGCTTCTGTCCCAGGATCCTGTCCTAGATACCACATTTATTTGTAACATCTTTTACATTTACTTGTCATAGTCTCCAATCTGACAATTTCTTGGTCTTTCCTTGTCTTTTGTGACTTTGACACTTTTGAAGAGTACTGGTCAGTTATTTCGAAGACTGCCTTACAGCTTAGGTTTGTCTGAGGTTATGGGCTTTTGAAAATATCCGAAAGGCAATGAACCCTTCTAATTGTGCCACATGAGGGAATATATGATATCAATCTGACTTCTTATTGTTGATGTTAACATTCATCACTTGGTTCAGACAGTGTCTGCCAGGTTTCTCTGCTCCAAAATTACTATTTCCCTGGATTCCATATGCTGTTCATTAATGTCCAGCACCCACTCAAGAAGAGGGGAAGTAAGCTCCAGCTTCTAAAGAAAGGAGTAATAAAGAATTTGTGGACATGTTAAAAATTCCCCAGGCCAAGTGCAGGGGCTCACACCTGTATTCCCAGCACTTTGGGAGGCCGAGGCAGGCAGATCACGAGGGCCGGACATCAAGACCATCCTGGCCAACATGGTGAAACCCCATCTGTACTAAAAAATACAAAAAATTAGCCAGGCATAGTGGTGCATGCCTGTAGTCCCAGCTACTTGGGAGGCTGTGGCAGAGGAATCATTTGAACCGGGAAGCAGAGGTTGCAGTGAGCTGAGATCGCACCACTGTACTCCAGCCTGGTGACAGAGCAAGACTCCGTCTCAAAAAAAAAAAAAAAAAAAAACCAGAAAACTTCCAGTAATTAATTTCTAGAGGAGAGAAACACTTTGAAGCTATGCAAATATACTATTTCTCCTTAACATTTCACCCACTAATTTTAGCATTCATTGCTTGATCTTGCCTGCTGCAGTTATTACTGTGGGATTCTAATGTTGACTCCTGTTTCCCTCATTCTTCCTATGTTTATTAACTGGGATTCTTCTGTGAGGAAGATTTGAACAGTAAATTTTTAACCTGATTTAGATGAACTACAAATAGCAATGAGAACAGAGTCAAGGTACCACAAATGTTGACATGAATTTACATTTATCATTATTAAAAAATGTATTCAAAAGAAAATTAATTAAAGTTTCAGGGTCTCTCATGAAGGCAAGAAGATGCATTTTAAACAATATACCTTTAACTCTAACAGAAATGGTATGGTGGATGGCTCCTAATGCATTTTTTGCTATACATTGGTAATTTCCAGAGTCTGCTTCTGAAACATGAGTGATCTGCAAGGTTTTCTTAAAGTTCTTATAAGATGTCCTGTTGGTGGGTAAAATTCCATCTTCTTTTGCCCAGTAAATAAGTGGGGTAGGCCTGACAGGATAAATAAATAATGATGTTATAAAAAAGAAATCCAACTGACTACTTTTAAGGATGAATTTTCATGCAAGTTTATAACAAATCTTTATATAAAAATCACAAGAAATATATAGATATTTTAATTAGCACCACTTTTATAAATAATGCTCACAGTTTTACATTTTCACATAATCAGAACTATACTAATTTATGGCACACCATAAACTTTGATGTCAATGATGCAGTGTGAATGCCAGCATGAGTTGCTTTACTGAAGGGACCTAATTATTTTCTTCCATGTTCTGACTAATGAGGAACTCTCAGAAATGTTTATATGAAGCATGTTAATCAAAATAATTACTATTATATTAATGATACTGAATTATAATTTTTCCTCAACTAGAATTAAAAATGTACAGAGAAAAACTCATAAACATATCTATGAGCATAAACCTTTGCATTAATTTCCATATCAAATGGAAGAACTTTTCTATTTTACAGCTGTCTGTCTGATGATGTGAATTAAGTGATTAGGGAAACAGCATTCTTTACTTAGTTTCATTATTAGTGACATTTAAAAATATTATTATACTAATTGATTAGAATAGATCAAATTTAGGTATTACTCATATCATTTGTCACCCAATTTTGTTTTTTATCGTCATGAAATATGGAGACAGATAAAAAGTCAGAATATAGGCTTAAAGTTAGAGGATCTTTACAATTCTAACCCTGTCCCTAGATTTCTGATCTTTTTGGGCCTTTAGTTTCCTTAGTTGCCTTAATGGGGATAATAATGTTTGACTTGAACTAATGACTTTAGAAAGTTTTCATGAAGGTAAACTAAAAAACCATTCAACACAAAAATTTCCTAAGCATTGAACTATACACCAAGCACTGAGTTGTGTGTTGGGAAGATGATGAAGAAACTATGGCCCCCAGGGCCTCGGGAAGATAACAGTATTTGTCAATAGCAATGCAATTGACTCTGAATAAGAACGGCTCAGCCCAGAAGGGATCATCATGGCAGATGGGAGGCAAAACCAGATTACAGCTCTGAATCAACAGCAGCAGCATGTGGAGGCTCACATCGTGAATTTTAGCTCCAGAATGACCACAAGAACAAACCTGCTGAGAGGATTCATAGACCCTCTGAAAAAATCAGACTGCTCCTGCAGGACCCAGGAAACATCCCAAAAACCGTGAGTGCCCAAACTGCAGAATTGGGAAACTGAAGGTCTAGTTTCAGGAGAAGTTTCTGACCTCACCTGGAGCTGAGTCAATTTAGAGAGCTGAGCGAAATACAGGGGTAGAGGAAGCAGCAGGAAGGCCCCGGGGAACTTCCTGGGTCCCCAAGCAGCCCATTCCTGCCTGGCACCACAGGGATCCATCAGGAGGGCAGCCAGAGGCACAGGGAAAAATGCCACAGGGGAAGGAAGTCTCCAGCTAAACTTTGTAACAATTTGAACTGGGCTAGAAGCTTGCTGGCCAGAACTCGGGGGACAGCACGAATCTGGCAGGTAGACTCCACAGGTGGGGAAGAACCAAGCCCTTTTCTTTCACAGCTTGGAGGCAGGCTGTGAAAGAAACTTGCCCCAGGCTTGGGGCAAGTTCTCAAGCCCTGCTCACCCATTGCCTGGAAACAAACTTGGGGCTGTTAGGGGACGCACTGTGGGAGCGAGACCGGTCTTTTGGTTTGCATGGGAGCTGGGTAAGGCTTGTGACCTCTGGATTTCCCTTGTTTCCCCAACAACCTCCATGACTCAGCAGAGGCAGCCATAATCCTTCTGTGTACACGACTCCATTGACCTGGAAACCTCACTCCATCCCCGATAGCAGCTGCAGCAAGACCCACCCAAGAAGAGTCTGAGCTCAGATACGCCTAGCCCTGTCCCCAACTGATGGGCCTTCCCTACCTACCCTGCTAGCTGAAGACAAAGGGCATATAATCTTGGGAGTTCTAGAGTCCCACCCACTACCAGTTCCTCTTCATACTACCACAACTGATGCTCTCTGGAAAGCACCACCTCACGGCAGGAGGCCAACCAGCACAAAAATAGAACATTAAACCACCAAAGCTAAGAGCCCTCACAGGGTCCATTTCAACCTCCTGCCACCTCCACCAGAACATGTGCTGGTACCCATGGTGGAGAGACCCATGGTTCACATCACAGGACCCCATGCAAACAACTCCCAGTACCAGCCCAGAGCCCGGTAGACTTGCTGGGTGGCTACATCCAGAAGAGAGAGAACAATCACTGCAGCTTGGCTTACAGGAAGTCACATCTATAGGCAAAGGGGGAGAGTACTACATCAAGGGAACACACCATGGGACAAAATAATCTGAACAACAGCCTTTGGCCCTAGACCTTCCTCTGACAGAGCCTACCCAAATGAGAAGGAACCAGAAAACAAACTCTGGTAATATGACAAAACAAGGCACTTTAACATCTCCCAAAGAATCACACTAGCTCACTAGCCATAGGTCCAAACCAAGAAATCCCTGATTTACCTGAAAAAGAATTCAGAAAGTTAGCTATTAAGCTAATCAGAGAGGCACAAGGGAAAGGTGAAGCCCAATGTAAGGAAATCCAAAAAACAATATAAGAAGCAAAGTGAGAAACAGTCAAGGAAATAGACACCAGAAAGAAAAAACAATCAAAACTTCAGGAAACATTGGACACACTGATAGAAATGCAAAATTCTGTGGAAAGTCTCAGCAATAGAATTGAACAAGAAGAAAGAAGAAATTAAGAGCTTGAAGACAAGGTATTTGAATTAACCCAATCCAACAAAGATAAAGAGAAAAGAATAAGAAAATATGAACAAAGCCTCCAAGGAGTCTGGTATTACGTTAAACGACCAAACCTAAGAATAATCAGTGTTCCTGAAGAAGAGACATCTAAAAGTTTGGAAAACATATTTGAGGGAATAATTGAGGAAAACTTCTCTTGAGATCCAGATATTCATATATAGGAAGCACAAAGAACACTTGGGAAATTCATCACAAAAAGATCTTCCCCTAGGCACACTGTCATCAGGTTATCCAAAGTTAAGACGAAGGAAAGAATCTTAAGAGCTGTGAGACAAAAGCATGAGGTAATCTATAAAGGAAAACGTATCAGATTAACAGCAGATTTTTCAGCAGAAGCCCTACAAGATAGAAGGGATTGGGGCCCCATCTTCAGCCTCCTCAAATGAAACAATTATCAGTCAAGAATCATGTATCCAGGGAAACTAAGCATCAGATACGAAGGAAAGATACAGTCTTTTTCAGACAAATGCTGAGAGAATTCACCACTGCCAAACCACCACTACAGGAACTGCTAAAAGCAGCTAAATCTTGAAACAAATCCTGGAAACATATCAAAACAGGTATGTAAGCATACCTTACAAAGGACCTATAAAACAAATATGTAACTTAAAAAGCAAAAACAGGTCGGGTGTGGTGGCTCACGCCTGCAATCCCAGCACTTTGGGAGGCCGAAGTGGGTGGATCACGAGGTCAGGAGATCAAGACCATCCTGGCCAACATGATGAAATCCCGTCTCTACTAAAACTACAAAAAAATTAGGTGGGTGTGGTAGCACACACCTGTAGTCCAGCTACTTGGAAGGCTGAGGTAGGAGAATTGCTTGAACCCAGGAGGCGGAGATTGCAGTGAGCCGAGATTACACCAGTGCACTACAGCTTGGGCGACAGTGCTAGACTTCATCTCAAAAAAAAAAAAAAAAAGTAAAAACAAAAAATAAAAAAACCAAGGGCAACAAATAGTACAATGAATGCAAGGGTACCACATATCTCAATACTAACATTGAATATAAATGGCCTAAGTGTTCCACTTAAAAACACAGAACTGCAGAATGGATAAGAACTCACCACCATGTCTCTGTGGCCTTCAGGAGACTGAACTAACACATAAGGACTCACACAAACATAAACTAAAGGAATGGAAAAAGGAATTTCATGCAAACGGACACCAAAAGTGAGCAGAGATAGCTATTCTTGTATCAGACAAAACAAACTTTAAAGCAACAGCAGTGAAAAGAGACAAAGAGGGACATTATATAATGGTAAAAGGCCTTGTTCAACAGGAAAATCTCGCAATCCTAAACATATATGCACCTAACACTGGAGCTCCTAAATTTATCAAACAATTGCTAATAGACCTAAGAAATTAGATAGACAGCAGCACAATAATAGGGTGGACTTCAACACTCCACTGACAGCACTAGACAGGTAGGTCATCAAGACAGAAAGTCGACAAAGAAACAATGGATTGAAACTATACCTTGGAACAAATGGACTTAACAGATATATACAGAACACTTCATCCAACGACTGCAGAATACACATTCAGTTTAACAGCACATGGAACTTTCTTGAAAATGGACCATATGATAGGCCACAAAATGATCCTCTATACATTTAAGAAAATTGAACTTATATCAAGCACTCTCTCAGACCACAGTAGAATAAAACCAGAAACCAACTCCAAAAGGCACCTTTAAAGCCATGCAAAAACACAGAAATTAAATAACCTGCTTCAGAATGATCATTAAATCAAAAATGAAATCAAGATGGAAATTAAAAAATTCTTCAAACTGAATGACACTAGTGACACAACCATTCAAAACCTCTGGGATACAGCAAAGGCAGTGCTAAGAGGAAGGTTCATAGCCCTACTCGCCGACATCAAAAAGACTGAAAGCGCACAAACTGACATTGTAGGGTAAACCTTAAGGAACTAGAGAAACAAGAACAAACCAAACCCAAACCCAGCAGAAGAAGTGAGACAAGGCTGGAGCAGAACTACGTGAAATTGAAACAAACCAACAGAAAATACAAAAGATAAGTGGAACAAAAAGCTGGTTCTTTGAAAAGATAAATAAGATTGATAGACCATTAGCAAGATTAACCAAGAAAGAAGAGAGAAAATCCAAATAACCTCATTAAGAAATGAAATGGGAGATATTACAATTGACACCACTGAAATACAAAAGATCATTCAAGGC